ATCGCGTTGTTGCTCTGCTTGGCCAGAGATGAGTGGATATTAGCTGGATGTGAAAATTCTCTTCTCCACCTATGACTCTTGGTCTCCGATTTGGACATTCCCCTGAAAAACACTTCCCCTCGCGGCTCGACCTCGGAACGCTCCGAGGTCTCCTCCGTCCTCTCAACTTCCTCCCGCTCGAGGTCCTCGCTCGGCTCAAAGTCGGGTCGAATAAGCGTCCGTTCCCCTTCGTCAAAGGGGTCCACAAGCGTTTCGCTCGCGGGCCCGGCCTCGGCGCTCCGCCCTTGATCACCATCGAGGTTTTTCTCGCTCCTTAGTTTCATTTCGCTCACTGAAAGATCAGCTTGACCTTTAGTCGATTGGTGATCAGCAAAAACGTCTGGAACGCTGCTAACCGAAGATTGGCTACGCCTAGTTCTAAACTTCCGCGTACTTCCCTTGCTCAGCTTGGGGATCTTAGTAGTCGATCCTAACGAGTCCTACGCTGCATACTTTGTAACAAATAACAATATTCGTATAAGTTAATGGCGATATACACGTACCGCAAATAAGTTCAGGTTGATTTACTTAACACTGCCTACTCGATTTCGTAAATATCAAAAATATCTTCTAGATTTCTCAATGACAATATTAGTGACTCAGCTAAAGTTACACACAAGGCCTACTCAGTATTGATATAATGCTAACTCAGTCCCGTTGTATAGTATAACAGTATCACAAAATTTTCACTAGATATAATCAATACGCAAAACACAATTGATAACCAGATAAGAATGTCCTATAGGTGACAGCGATCTTTCGTCAGTATCAATTTACCGCCACACTCTTATTAAATCACTGCTTTGTTAAAATCAAACAATCTTCTGTAAAAGGCAGTGATGATTCAGGAATAGATAAATAAAGCTTAGTCTTAAAGAAAGGACTTCCTTCAATCGGAACACTCCAAAAGAACAAAGCTCAGGACAGTGTCTTCTCAAGTGAGTATGTATTTGCCTAATACACTCACCGAGGTCTTCTCCTAGGTGCTCTGCGATTGCCCGAGCTGTCCTACTAAGTAGCTCAAGGCAACCTCTGATCAAAAATTTCTAAAGTCTATGAAAAAGCTCCCCCACACCCGGAACGCACCAAGTGCACGAGAGCAGGGAACAACTTTTCTTCTCAGGTGAGTGTGTTTTGCCTAATACACTCACCGAGGTCTTCTTTTATTTGTTCCCGGATTGCCCGATTTTCCTATTAAGTAGCTCAAGGCAACCACACAACCAAAATCACAATCAAAAAAATTTTGGTTCGGGTACTTCTGATACACCCGATCTAGAATCCAAAGTTGATCACGAATTTCCGGGTCAAAATGGGCTCTTATGATCCTAATAAGCACGCCTAAAATCCTAATATGATCCTAATTAAATGGATATTTTCCGTTTCCCAAATTGCCACAGAAGGTTTCCTCAAGTTTCTAACAAGGAGGGTTGTTAAGAGGTTTAAGTCACTCCGGAGGGTTACTTCGGAGGGTTGTTAAGACACTTAGCCTACTTCGGAGAGCTACCTCGGAGGGTACCTTAGCCACATAAGTGACTTCGGAGGGTTCCTCTTCACTCACTAAGGAGGGTCTATTAGAGGCTTAATATGCTCCGGAGGGTTACCTCGGAGGGTTCTTCCAAAGTTTTCGAAACTTTTTAAACTCACTTAGAAGGGTCTTCCACTAGCTTCGAAAAGCGTCAAAACAAGCTAAAAGTCCTATGGGGGATTGTTTCAACTTCTTCGGAGGGTCCCGTGAAAAATCTCCACTAAGGAGGGTTGTTAAAGGGCTTAAGTCACTCCGGAGGGTAACTCCGGAGGGTTCCGCAAAAATCAGGAAAAAGGGTTAATTTACCGCAATAAAGCCTCCGAATGCATTGTAACTTAATTAAAACCAGGTTGGTTGACACGGTCAACCTTCCCAGCAGGATAAAAAGGTGTTTCGATAAAATTTTCTGCCGCTCGGAGGGTTACCTATAATTTGGACCCTCCGAACCAACAAATTCTAAAAAATTTTTCTTTTCCGAGATTATCAACCCAAAAACGGAGGGTTGCGGTCCGGAAAAATGGTCCAAAACGTCGACTTATGGTACCAAATTTATCCCGATCGGTTGGCTAGTCTTTGAGAAATTGCCAAAAACGTGTTTGTCCAAATGGCCTTTTTTCACCACCTATATAGGTTCTGAGAAACTTTTTCCGCAATTCCTATTGAAAGTGCCTAAAAATAATTGAAACGAGCGTAGTAGCCCTGAACGGCACTGGAATGATGCAAAAACCCGGACCAAAATTGGTTTGGAGACAAAAATTTAGCCAATAACTATCAAATTTGGACCCTCCGATTCCTTCCTTTTCCAATCCTCAAGTCGTTAGCTCTATCCACGGAGCTAATCGGAGGGTTACTCAAGAATTTTTTTGGCAGCCGAGCACGTCATGCTAGCACGCTCCTAACACAAAAAATTTTATTGCTCTAACTCTAAAAACTCAAAAACTCGATCCCCAAAACAGATTGACAAAATTCAGAAAGTTATCGAAATTTTGATCGAAAAAATTTCGTTTTTTCCAACTTCTACTGAGTTTTTTCTCACGCGGTTTCTTTAGTCAGGGGGATCGAACTACGTAGCTACTCCCTATATAAAAAGCTTTTTGCTGTTCGGAAAAGCTCGGATATCCAAAAATTTGGGGGTCTATAGTTTGTCGAAAATCAGTAATTTTCGACAAGATTTGGGTGTTTCTTGGGTCTAATTAGGAGATAAGTAATATATATTAAGGATAATAACCTACTAGTAGTCGTTAATGAATAGTACTATACCCTCCTTTGCACCAAAATACCCGAATTAAGACCCTTAACTCGGAAATTTGTAATCGATGGAGGGTACAATCGGGCCACGCCAATCTTGCCCCCCACCACTTAAGTTTTGATGAAATAGTACCCGAACGATACTAAAATTGTTTCAACGATACCCAACAGTCGTTGTGGATGTTGTCCTTGATGTCCTTGTTGAGTGTGGAACACGTCGGTCAGCTTGCCACTCTACCCTCCGGCCACCGGCAAAATCACCATTAACGTGCTTAAATACTCAAATTACACTCAAGGGAGGGTATCCAACCCTTCACCAAAACACACAATCTTTCTATCAGAAATGATATAAATCAATCTGAAACAACAACAAATAGGAAGGTCAGATCACATCTCGTCCGGAAATAACATATGAACTGTCACCTTATGTTTTTTACTGTTTTTGGTCTTTTTTGGATTTTTTACTGTTTTTCTTTGTACTTTTTTGTTTTCAAATAATTTTATTTTTGGCTTTTTCTTGGTTATACACTCTTTTTGTTTGGTTTTACGCTTTCGCTTTAATTGTTTTTGGTCCCTGGACCTTGGGACAAGCGGGCTCATGAATTCCCACCTAACCCTCCGGCCCCCGGAATTTTCGGTGTTAACTAAGTTAAAAAGCTAAATAGTGCTAGGCAGAGGGTACGCACCTTCCCCCTAGTACACTAACGGTCATTAAGGCCTCTAACTCGGGCATACGCCCGGAGCGGAGGGTTCGTCGCTGAAACTATTGCTGATCATGATGGTCTCATGCCTTTAACAGGCCCACCCACGAGCGCCATAAAAACGTCTATGTAACATTCGCTCAAATACTACACAGCAACGGAGGGTAGAAAAAGTACCTATTAACAACTGGCAGGCGTCAATTACCTTGATTCTACTCGTTTTTCACCGTCTCGACCTTGCAAGTTGATTTTCTGGTCTGTTTAGGGCTAAGTAAAAAGTTACTATTTTTAGGCCATCAGTCAAACGACTTTTGATCAGCTTTCGCTTACATGCGAACACAACCACATAGCTGAGTGTCGGATCCTCAGAGTACGTGATTGCTATTAAAAACAGGGCTCGATATGACAGTCTCTGGGGGGCCAAGCCTCCGCTCCCGTGTTCTTCTCGAGATAACGCTGTTATCTCTCCCAGTTTGTGGCACGGGAGGCTTCCGTGGAATATTCCTTCCCCACTGAAGCCTCCTTTCTCACTGTTTCTCTCTGCTATCGGTCTTATCGCGTGTGATCGCCACGATAAGAGGCTTCGTTTTTCTCGTGCGACTGTTTTTCACTATATTTGTCGTTGTTCTGTTTTTTCGTTCTTTTTCGTCAAAATGGCCGTCTTTTTGTATTTCTGAGAAATACTTGCCCGTCAATCGAAATTTAAAAAATTTAAACTTCCGGAATATTTCGACCCTCTTTCGAAGCACTTTTTTGTTACTTAGGCCTTTAGTCGTCTTTTTCTGTCCCGCCGGAAGGTTGCGCTGTGCCAATCTGGCAGAATGGCACATTACAACCGCCAACCTCCAACCTAACCAGCCCCCCTTTTAACCTCCCCCTCTTTAGCCCCCCTCTTAAGCCGAAAATTACCTGAAGCGCCGGGTGCTGATCCTCTTGAGAGAAAACCGTAGAACCTGTTTCCAGGCCTGCTTGAGTAAAAACGTTCCTCAAAACAGTGGGGTTCCACTTATCCAATTTTACACATATCTCCTATAATGTAATGTGGATTTTAACGATACCCGTTTGACCAACTTGAGAACACCCCAGTCCTCTCTTGTTGCTCTGATTCCGTGCTGCTTGTTTCCTTGACTTGTCCTGCACCTGATTAACAGCACCACTTTCCCACTTGGCTGGTCACCTGTTCGAGTCAAGTCTCCTAGTTTTTCAGCTAAGTCCCTGTGAACCACTTTCCCACTCGACTAGTCACCTGTTCCAGTCAAGTCTCCTAATGGTCCAGCTAAGTCCCTGTGAACCACTTTCCCAGTCGACTGGTCACCTCTTCCAGTTAAGTCTCCTAGTGGTCCAGCTAAGTTGCAAGCTATCTGAAAACCCTTCTTAACGCCCCACACTTGGGCACCTTTTCAAATTGCTGAAATGATCGAAACGATCGGTCTTATAAAAAACAGTATGGGTATACTATTTAATTAATATAAAGGTTTTTATATTAGCCTAATTGTTGTGATAAACTTATTAAATAGTTTCCGAGGTCGAATGTCACAAACGTCTCAAGAGCCCTCTAGATTGTGAACTCAGACGTCCCAGCAAGATGGCGAGAAAACTTCGGTCTGCCAGCAGCAGCGAAGCGACGCGAGATCCACACGCAGGACCGCTCACCCAGAAATCAGAAGACACAGCACCATGCGGTAATGCGGATTGCCCACACAGCGGTAACGTGAGCTCGAGTGGCGTCCAATGCGACCAGTGTAACAACTGGTACCACATGAGCTGTGCCAAAACTACAAAGAAAGCACTTGCAGCAATGCCTAGAAACTCTCTATTTTACTGTCCTTACTGTGTCACCCCCTCGGTGAACGGATCAACTGGGTTATCTCAACTACTAAGTGATCTCCGGTTGGATCCGGTGGAAACTACTCACGAGGATCTTAAGGTGCTGCATGGGACAATCAGTTATACTTCACTCCATCAAGCCTATTCGAGGATTGTCACCTGGGTACCTAACCTGTTCACCCTTCCACAGGGAAAAGTAGGGAGTCAGTTCCTGGAGGAGTTCATCCGCATTCTGAAAAATTTTACTTCAGACCCAAAGAACGCTCACTCCGCCTCCTTAGCTTTTCACTTGTTCCCCGCGCTTATGTTACAGAAACCATCTGCTCGCAGCAAAGTGAAAGAGCACAACAACTGTACTAAAGCCCGTTTAGAGCACTGGTCGAACGGCAATATAGACGAAATTGTCTCTGAATGCCTGCTAATCCAGGATAAGTTTACAAGCAAGCGCCGAAAGGGAGTCGTCAACCTGTCGAAAACGTACAGTGACCTTATCATGCGGGATAAACTCACCCAAGCCACCCAACTCCTCGAAGGCGAAGAGTCTGGAGGACCTCTGCCCGTAGACGATGACCTCATCGCTCAACTGGAGAGAAAACATCCGGTCGCCGAGCCTTCGCATGCTGATGCCTTGCTCAAGGGACCCGTTAAACCTACTCCTGCATCGATATATTACAACATTACAGGCGCGCTTATCCGCAAATGCGCACTCAACAGCACTGGAGGCACGGGACCAAGCGGCCTAAGTTCAACAGGCGCCAAACGTATTCTTTGCTCCGATAGTTTTGGTAAATTAACCGACGACGTCTGCCACGCTCTCGCTGATCTTACCAGAATTCTTGCCACAGAGCAACTACCCGCTTCAGTGATGCAGCCCATAGCAAACTGCCGCATGGTTGGCCTGGACAAATCACCTGGCGTCCGCCCTATTGGAATCGGAAAAATTTTTAGAAGAATAATCACGTCCGCTCTTATCCATTGCTTTCAAGATGAAGTTAGGGAGATTGTTGGCCCCCTCCAAACTTGCGCTGGTATTAGCGCCGGGATTGAATCTGCTTTCCGATCCATGCAGAAGACCTTCAACGCCGACGAGTGCCAAGCAGCCCTGTTCATTGACGCAGAAAACGCGTTCAATAGACTGAACCGCGGTACGGCTCTCCATAACATTGAAATTCTATGCCCCCAGCTCCACCCCTTCCTCAATAACTTCTCTGTATCCTTGCGCAGTTACCAGCCAGGTTGGGCGGCCTGAGCATTCGCGACCCAATTAGACAGAGTGCTCTAATGAACCGGGCTTCAGAATTCATTTGCGAACCACACGTGGACCTAATATGTACGCAATCTGAAAATTTTCCCTCTGGTTTCGAATCCGATCAGAAATCTAGAAGGGCTTATATTCGGAAACAAAACACCGAGACGCAAACAGAACTCCTGCAAACTATCCGGCCGAAGCTATCTGAGCGCCAAGACAGACTTCTAGAACATACGAGACGGAAAGGCACCTCAGCGTGGTTAACTACCCTCCCTATCAAAGAGTTAGGGTATGCTCTCAACAAAATGGAATTTCAAGACCTCCTCCGCCTCCGATACGTTATCAGTCTTGATAACCTTCCCATTGCCTGCGTCTGTGGGAAACCTTACGACATCACCCACGCCCTTAATTGCACCACTGGTGGTTTTATTCATAAAAGACACAACGAGTTGCGTAACCTGCTGGCGAACATCATACGCGAAACTTGTTTTGACGTCTCCATTGAACCGAGTCTCCAACCAGTTGTCCAAACTAACTCCAACCGTGCCGAAGATGGAGCAAGACTGGATATAGCAGCAAGGGGTTTCTGGCGGACCGGTCAACGCACTCTTTTCGACGTCCGAAATTTCAATCCCGGAGCCACCACCAATATCAACCGGAAAATTTCTGAAACCTTCAAACATCATGAACAAGAGAAAATCAAAAACTACCAGGAACGAATTTTGAACTCGGAGCACGCAAGTTTCACTCCCATTATCTATTCAACCAGTGGTGACTGCAGCAACCTGACTTCAACATTTATTTCCCAGCTAGCTCTCCTGACCTCTGAGAAGCGCGGAACCCACTATTCTGAAACTATTTCGTGGCTACGAACCCGTGTAAACTTTTGCATTATGAGAGGTGCCCTTCTTTGCATTAGAGGATCCCGCAAAATGAGAAGCCAGACCTGCTACAACCAAGATATTTCCATCAATAATTCCCTATCACGACGCGACTAACCTTTCCTTTATTCTCTTCACCCCGTTGCTGTTTTTCACTGAACTGCTGTTCTTAACTGTAATTTGGTGCTATTTTTTCAAAGCTGATATATAATACTTGTATATTGTATATAATTAGATACTCATAAACTTTCATATTACTTTGACTGTAATTACTTTGACGTTTAGCTGTGTATACTTGATGATGCTAGTTATAGTGAAAACGTTCCTATTTTAATTTAAAAAATATAAAGGTTTGATCCAACTAATTTGGTGTCAAAGTCACTGTCTTTTTTTTAAATGGTTTTTGTTTCTTTTTCCATTCTTTTTCGGTTTTTGTTTCGCTTTTTGTCTTTTGCTCGTTTTTCGTCCCCCTTGTTACCCCCTTACTCGGTTAGCTAAGCCTCGTTCGGAGAGCGAACCAGGAAGTTTTCTCGAGTTTTCTTAAAAAGCTATCACGGTACAACCGGAAGGTTTACACGTTCCCGCTGAACCGTACCAACGGTACTATAGAATGGGTATGTAGCCCGGAGCTGTGTCAAGTGGGTTCAACTACGTAGTCATGATGCCGTAAAAACACCCAGGAGCGCCTTAGAAACACTATGTAACAGTCGCCTACTTCGGTCACATATGAGGTTAAAGAAAAATAGGCCCTATAACCATTGGCTCAAGAGTCAGGGACACTATCTCTTGTGTTTTTCTACCTCGAACGGTCGGAGCCAATTCGGTTCACTTGCGACATGAGACTAAAAACCCGTTACAGCTTGAAGGCCACTATCAAAATACCCCCCACTCTACAAAATAAAAACGTCACCATACTCAGGTCTCAAAATACCCAAAATACGCGAACGCCGTTAAAAACAGGATCGGAACAATCCGTACAGTTACTTTTTATTAGACAGTGCAACTTTGATCCATTTCAGATGGATCATCCTAAAATTCTCCTTATCTCAACATAACAATCATAAAACACACTCAAGAAAATTAAATTGGGTACTCACATACTAGCACACTCGAGAATTAGAGGTAACTAAATTAGTAAGCAACTTGAGAATAATTGGGGAATTAAGTTTGGTTCAATAAGTTCTAATCGAACAAGTTTTATCTCGAGAATGGAGTTTTGGTTCTGGACCATTGGGACACCTCGGTTGTCCACCTTTCCACCGAAGGTTCACTCTGGTCCAACTGAATTTCGATGTTCTTTGTTTTCTGTATCAAGATAGGACAGCTCTACTCTCGTATTATTTAGATGTCGGAAATTGCGAATAGCAATTTCCCGCTGCTTAATTTGACCACTTTCCCGCGATTGTTATTCGGTCGTTCTGATCTTGTATTTCTGAGATTTTCAGTTTTCGCAAGAAAGTTGAGCATGACAGGCTCAATTCGAATTTTTGAAAAATTAAATTTCATCCCAAAATTACGTAGTTCGTATTCCTCAAGGTCAAACTTCCAAATATGACCGACTGGCACAGTCCTTTCAAGATTACAGGAACTTTTCTGGGTCTGTTTGCCTGGGTGGGTTTATATAACTGGGTTTATTTTTGTGACAGATCATAATGACTGTGGAGTTAATGACCTTTAATATCCGCTATGACAATGCAGATGATGGGTTGGACTCGTGGCAGCACAGAAAAGACGATGTATGCATCTTCCTTTTGAGCCAAAAATCCGATTTTATTGGAATGCAGGAGGCACTTTACGACCAAGTTCTGGATATTAACAATTCACTGGCTCCAGTTGCCTACAAATGGTTCGGAGTCGGACGTGATGATGGAAAACTTGCAGGAGAATTCAATCCAATTTTCTATAACTCCTCGAAATTTTCTTTACTGGGCCACGGAGTTTTCTGGTTAAGTCTCACTCCAGAAGTTCCCGGCTCCATATACCCAGGAGCAGGGTGCAGGAGGACTTGTCAATATGGTCACTTTCAAGAAGTCCTAAAACCCGAGAACAAGTTTTGGCACTTCAATACTCATCTTGACAACGCGTCTTTGGAGGCAAGGGAGTATAGTGCACATCTTCTTTCTACGAAAATTAAAGAAATTGTTGACATTGAGAAGGACGTATACTTCTTAACAGGGGATTTCAATTCCGAGAAGACTGAGCAGACTTATAAAATCGTAATCGAGTCTGGTCTAATCGACTCAGAAGACGTAGCCGCACAAAAGAAACCGTCCAGCACGTTTACCGGTTTCGACAATTCAGCGCGCAGTGTGATTGATTTTATCTTCGTACGAAATTATAAGTCAGTCGATTTGTACCAAGTGAATGAACAGACGAGACCGAATGGTCGTAATCTTTCGGACCACAGGGCTGTGCAGTGCTTTATAAATCTATTCTGAAAAGTAATCAATGCAAAGCTGTAATAATCAAGAGGGTGCTTCTTATCAAATTGTTTTATTATGGTAGTTTAGAAAAAGTAGACAGTGTTGAATAATTTTTACAAAGATATTTATCAAGTTTTTTTTGCCGTCATATTTACTTGAATGCATTTTTATTTGAACAGTTTCAGCAAGGTTGTTGATTAGTAAAGATTTGACTTTTAGACTTTATCATCATGGCAATTGTGAGACAGAATTTTCACGAAGAGTGCGAGGGTGGAATAAACAGGCAAATCAATATGGAACTGTATGCTTCGTATACCTATTTGTCAATGGTAAGTTGCATCATGCGTTTTACCCTTGCGATGCGCTATGTTATTGCAACCTGGTACTGAACATTTGCCCCCGAAAATAACTTTGTTTACAGGATGGCTGAAATTGGTGTTCATCTCCACATCTATACTTTTGTCAACCAACAGACACTTGAGCATGTCTGCATTTTAAATGTCCGTTCTCTTTACCTCGTCGAAATTTCGGTTCGGGCTTATAGCTATAGCTTTATTTTTATTCGCTGGAATAGAACTGCAAATTTAATAGCATCTGAATATACTTTTTGGTGGCTAGTGTTTGTATATTTCCAAGATACCGCGGCGCAGATGCGAGGACGTGAGGCTCTAAATCTCGAAGTTGAGGTTGATTCCGGGCATAGGTCAAAATTTTTCTTACTTGTACCTGTTCCTTGTTTATTTTACTCTTTGAATTTTCAGTGCTACTTTCGGCGTTTTATCGTTTGTATTTGCGAGGTGCCGACATTTGATTTTTATGCTGGTTGTCTATTAACCAATTCCGGTATAAATTTTTTAAATTATCTTTTTTTAATTTGACTTGAAAGGTCGCAGCTTATAATATATGGGCTTAGTAGCCTCATATTGCGTCGTTTCATGATCAAAAAGTTTTTTATGTATAAATTTCAAGGATGGCTTTTGCACTTTTATGATTTATAAAGTTTTTGTATGAACGGGTATCTTTTTTTGCGGCTCAACGGGTGTCTGCACAAGTACTGTCAGCTTTGTCATCGCTTTCTATAGTTTTCTTTTGACGCTATTTTGAAAATGAATTGTCGTCTTTGGAATGTATTTCTCGTAATGGACTTTATTTAAAACCATACGAGGCAATCAGGAAAGTTTTGGCAGATCTATGTTTTTCCGACATTTATAAAAGGTTTCCCACTTTGCGACGGCTCATTTTATGTCTGCAAATATGTCATGCTGTTTGAGTTGTATTGCAAGTCGTGCGAAGCATCGCTTCGTCGTTGTGTAATTGATCGTTTTAGCGAGAAGTGAAAAGAATATTTATCAAGAATTATTGTGCCATTTGTGGCGGAAACTGAAAAGTTAAGACACATCGAAGGCTCTGAGCCATCAATTTCTCTCGTTAACTACCAAAAGGATATACTGATTTCAAATCGGTTCAAACAGATATTTTTCTGCTACAAAGAAAATTTTAACATGGTGAATGTTTTGTTGGCCATGCAACATTAAGCAAATTTAAATAACTGTTTTGCATTTTTTTGATCTGCGTGTAAAATAATTCCAGGCTTACTACTTCGAACGGGATGATCAGAAGATGCCGAACGTGGCCAAGTTCCTGAAAAAACAGAGCGACGATGAAAGAGAACATGCCATGAAACTGATGGAGTACCAGAACAAGAGGGGCGGCAGAATTCTGCTGAAAGACATCAAGGCAAGTGCCCCTGGTTTGCTACCAGTTCCGAAAACATAGTGTGGATGAAATAACATTTGAATTTGTGTTCTGAAAAAAAGAGTATTTGGACATGTCGACCACAAATAATGTGCTGCTGATGGAACTTAGAATTAGATTCGGTGAAAGCAGAACGGTCGGAAATTAATTTTTAACGAGTAGACTTTTTCGCAGTTAAGAGTCCAAGAATAGCATTGACCAAAAAGGTTTAGGGTCCGGAATAGGTATAAAATAGTATACCTAGTTATTTCACCCTAATTTCTGCAGTTTTTGAAAATTTTACATTGTCGAAACTAGCTTTTTATTGTTGTAATATGCCGAAATTGTTGAAAGCTTTTTATTGTTGAAAAAAAAAGCTTTTTAAAGAGCCGATCAACGTAACGTGATGAAGACTCTTGTATAGATCTTGGTTTTATGTGTTTTTTTTCAGGTAAACGTTAAAATTTGTTCGCGCTTAAGTTCGATTTTTTTGCGGTTTGACTTGCGATAAAATTTCAGTTCATTTCTTTTGTTAAAAGTAAGGCAAACTCCATTATTGAACAGAAAAAGTGTTAAGGTCAAGAAAAACGTGAAAAACTTTTATTTTCGAAAGTAGAAATTAGTTTTCAGATTTCCCTGCGAAATAATCCAACTTTCTCAAATTGGGTTTGTATTATCAAAAAAGTGTCAATCATTAATTATTCTTGAATCTTAGGAGCTTGAAGTCCATATATTTTTCAATTTGAAATCCGAAAGCTTTTTTTTTGTTTCCTTGTGGTCATTTTTTAAGAACTCTTGCAACTGTTTGTTCGCTATGTTTTTTTTGGAAAATCTGAGTGCCTGGTATTCATTTTTTTGTGCGAATATCAGTGCAGTAATTTTTGAGTCACCACGGCAACCCTTTATTGTTTCATTTGTCACTCGAGAAAGCAACCATGTTATTTAGGGTTTTGCTTGTCTACAGTTTTACTTACAGATAATGGGGTAGGAAAGCGACTGCTATTTATTAAAAGTTACAGAGCTTTTTTTGGCCCAGATACAACGTTTTAAGACTTCTTCGACGCAGGCACTTACCCGTCACAAATAATTCCGTCACTGGGCGGAATTAAGGAGAAATGCGTTTTTGGGTGACTATATTTTTGAAAATTTTATTGCTGCTCATCTTGAGCTTTTTTTTCGTCTGAATAATTTTCACCGCTATTGCCGGACAAGCGAAGCTCATAGTCGCCAATTGGTTCTCTGAATCAAGAGTTCAAAGTTGAAAAGTGCGTAATTATATGTATTATGTTCAGAAACCGGACCAGGACGAGTGGGGGAATGTGGTGGATGTGCTTGAGAGTGCATTGGCCCTGGAGAAGAAGGTGAACCAGGCTCTGCTAGATCTTCACGCACTGGCTGACGGACATGGAGACAAGCAGGTTGGCTGCATATTTTGATCATATTATTATATTTGTGAATATTATGTAAACCCTGCTTACTAGACTATTTTCACAGGTGAAATTTAGCTAGCTGGATAAACAGAGTTGAGTCTGTCCTTGTTGAAATATCATTTCCATTCATGGTTGAATATACGAAATAATGGTTTTTACTGGCCAGTATGAATGCGCTTTTTAATAGAAATAAATGAGCTCAAGAATTGTTTTTCTTGAATAGTTTTGTTCTGTGGTCTGCAGGTAGGCGCTTTTGTGAACAGACTAGCTTTTAGCGAATAGATTTGAAGGCTGATTGGGTTAACAGGATAGCAAAGCGTGGACTTAAATCACACTTACAAGTTTTTACCGATTTCAAAGTTAATCAAATTGAGATCATCAAAAATTTATTAAATTTACTTTTATCAAAGAGTTGCCTGTATCCTTGAAATTATCGATTCTTTGGCCAAAAAATGATATTTTTTGTATTCCTCGCCTAAACGCAGTGAAGAAGCTTGCAGTTCACGTCTTGTAATTTATTATTTGGACTAGTGTAAATTATATAAATTGATTTTGGAATCTTTTGAGAGCAGATTATTTCATCTTTTACACCGTAGACATGATAGATGTCTAAAGCGCACCTTTATTTATCAAAATTGGCAATTTTCTGTTCTCTATATCTGAAAAAAAGATTACCGATGAAGTAAGGAGAAGTGACTTCTCGGGTCGTTTATTTTTTAAATCGAATAAAGTACTCAGGCCGTCTGCTTTTTAAAAACTCTGGTTGTCTTTCTTAAATTGATTTCTGAAATTTGTTTTCATGCATATCCGGGCAAATAAAGATCTGCTATTTTCCACCTTTAATATGAGTGTCATCCAATTTTAGGTCTGGTTGTTTCCTGTTGCTTCCTGTGTGCTGCTGTCCAAGTTTTTTTTGCGGGTAATTGAATGTGGTTTGTGTGTTCCTTGCATTTTGTCCGAATGCGTTGTTCTGTCCGATTCCGTAGTCTTGGTTTCTTTTGATATCCGAAATCCGCAAAAAAGGATTGGCTCACGAGGGCTTTTAACTCCGTGTTGAATGTTGTCGAAACTCTTGCTAACAGTTTTGCTGTTGAGTTTGTCTTCTGTGGGGTTATAGTTGTTCTTTTGTTATTCTGTTGGGATCAAATTTATTTTTTGGACTGAGATCTGATATGGACTTTGAAGTTTGTTGTTGTCGGTTGGTGCTGAGAGCTGGTTGATATGAGTCTTCTTCATTGACAAAAATTCGGGTCATTCTTTGTTGGTAATGGTCATTGCTGTCATTAGTCCTTTGAGGCGTTTGTTGATTAGTGAGATCAGGGTTATGGGTTGCTTCTCAGTCGTCCAAACTTTGACTGGGGTGGGTTTTTCACTCTTCTTGTGAGGTTCTGTAGAGCGTCGTCCATGCTGGGAATTGTACCAAAGAATTCATTTTGTATCGATTACTGAATCAAACCCGGAGGTGTTTCCCATTGCAGATGTCGGGTTGAAGTTTTCTTCGCTGTTCCGCTAATTTCATTAATGATGAACGGTTTTGACTGTTTCTGTTTGTCTGAAGACGTCCTGGTTGTTGAAATAAAATCGAGCGTCCTGAGTTTTTGCTGAGTTGTTTTGTTTCAAAATTTTCTCCGTCGATTTTGTTGTTAGCTTGACTGATCCTTTTTTAGCTGAAGGATTTTGACTGGAATGGGTTTTTTTTGTAGCAGCTGGCATTGTAATTTCATTTTCCTGAAAACAGGAGAATCGTTCGCTGATATGAGTTTTTTACTGGCCATAATTCTGGTAATTTTTTTGTTGGTAATGGTAAGTGCTGTCATAAGTCCGTTGAGGCGTTTAATGATTAGTGAATTTATTGTAATGGGTTGCTGCTCAGTCGTCCAAGATTAGGCTGAGTTTTTGACTCTTGTCGTGGGATTCTGTAGCGCGTGGTTCTTGCTCGGAATTGTACCAAAGAATTCATTTTGTATCGAGTTTTGAATCAAAGTTGGATGTGTTTCCCTCTGTAGATGTCGGGTTGAAGTGGTCTTTGCTGTTCCGCTGATTTCATTGATGCTGAAGGACTGAACTGATCCTTTTTTTAGTCGAAGGATTTTGATAAGCATGGATTTTGTTGTAGTAGCTGGCATGCCAATTTCATTTTCCTCAACAGTTTTGGAAGGTGTTTAGGTCGAGATTTCCTTTGTGTTTCCTTGGTGGGTCGCTGTAAGATAGTGGTGCTGAAATCTGCGGCTTCCGAACATTTGTCAGCATTAGCTCTGGTATGATCGTCTTAAGAGTCAGTTGATGATTTCAATACATTACAAGTCGAGTGAGTTCTGTCTGTTGTGCTGAAGGTTGAAGATGAATTGGCTGGTCCGTCAAGAGTCAGTAACTTGTGCTGCTAATATCTCATTCAACTGAAATAGAGCTGTCTTCCCTGCTCGTGGAACCTTAGCCGATTCTTTGTTTGTCGTATGGTGGTTAATCTGAGCTAGCCTGATTCCACTGGTTTCATTCCAAAGGGTGTTCGATTTGAGTTTATCTGGTTTCAATAAGTTGAGCGGATTTTCCATTTTAAGTTTCTATTGCTGCACTTGGCTTGTTACATCTTTTTCAAAATGAATCAATTGTTTTTAGTTGCTGATCCTCAATTTGAGATTTATGAAGTCTTTCTTAGTGTATATTTCAATTTCATTGGCTCAAATGAAGCTATGCTACGTTTTTAATAACGAAATTGCTAATTAGGAAAAAGTGAGTTGCGCCCTTTATTTTCTTCGGTGAATTATAGGTTTTTGATTTCCCAGCGGAATAAAAGTATTATTTATTCATTTATGTTTTCACTAATTGATATAGATTCTATCCAAACTTTTTGCACTATTTAAAATTTTTGATAAGCAGCGAGCTTTTAGGTGGTGTAATTTGTTCTGCGGAACAATCATTCGTTTTTGCTTCGGGTTTTTCATTTTATCAAGAGTTTCCAAATTTTTGTTGAATGTTCAAGTTCGAATTGGCATGATCGCTGTTCTTGCGCGGTAGTTGCCTCGTCGAGGGGCAGCACATAAATGTTCCTAATTTTGGTCAGATTCCGTTATAAATGGTCTTCGTTTTCGTTCAAAGCATTTAGTGCGTTAGTTCAGGGACCTCTTCACAGAAGATTGATTTCTTTATTTGGATTTTTTTCGTCTCGTCCAGATCTCACACTGCTCCCCCACCGGGTTTCCTGTGTACATATATAGAGAGAGAGGGTGCGATTCTAGTTTCTGAGATTCTAGATTCTGGTTGAGGCTCCTGTTTCGGTATCTTATCAAGCTGTCAAACGAGGAAAGGATAGCAAATCTATGACTGTGGTGTCTTTTTTCGTCTATACCGTATCTGCGGAGCACCAGACGGAGGAACAGTTTTGGTTTCCTAGCCGAAGCTATGAGCCAGTTTTGAGTCGACTCTGGCCATCGAGCTTGAATGCTGATCCAACCTGATGAAGGCGGATGCCTCGACAAGATTGGACCAGAGTGAAAGAGCAGTGAGTGTAGAAGGGCTTTGAGGATTTCGAAAGAAATGATTAGTATGGGATGTTTAGTTTGGGAAAGAAAGAAAGAAATAAAGCGAAAGAAGGAGAGAGAGAGAGAAAAAAAATAAGAGAGAGAGTGAGGGGAGAGAGAGAGAGAGAAAAAAATAAGAGAGAGAGTGAGGGGAGGTTTATTGAGTTTTGATATTGGTGCCTGGGGTGTAGACATTGAAGTCGTCCGCGTAAGGTATAACGAATAAGTTTATGGGTGGAGAGGGGGAGTCGGAGAGAGTAGTTGAAAAGTGGTGAAGATAACTGACACTCGTGGACTCCTTGCGGACTATTCTTGCTTTGGAGAGATGTTATCTGAATGGGTTTTTGGCATGGGTTTTTGGTAGTTGCCTAGCCAGAGGTTGAGAGGTCGGGCAATGAGGAGATAGATCTACGGCTACAAGAACTGTATGTTACGGTTTTATTGAAGCCGTGCAAAAATGAATTTTTGAGGGAGTTTAAGACGCTGTTAGTGGAATATAAGGGGCCGGAAACCGGGTTGGTGTGGCATGGGTTTTAGGTTCATTTAGAAGAGGAATGAGGAGTGCTTTAACGGGACTGAATACGTCAATAGGGTGATACGATTTGGACAGATTGGGATTTTTTAGGGATTTGACGAGAAAAAAATATGGTGGCTGTTTTCCAAATGGTATGGATTTGCGAAGCGCGCAAACTAAGGTTATGACTTCAGTGGGATAGTTTAAACTAGTTTCATTGGTATATTTCAAATTAATTACAGTGACTGAAAGGTTGAGATAGACGCGCCTTTTTTATGCGTTTCTCCACTTCTTCTTGAAAAGTGTCTTGTGGTTTGAATCTTAAGGGCATGAACGTTCAAGATGCGAACTATTCCACAATATTTGCTTAACTTGGTTCTATGGTTACTCGAATTCACGAACTCGCGAAATGTTTTCTCCTTGACAGCGGTGCAGATATTGCTTTTTCTTCAGGGCAGTACTGTTTGGGTCGGTAGGGTCAGAGAGTAGTTTGGTCCAGTTGCTTGATTAAGTCTTTGGGTTCCTCGAGAACGGAGGCTTTAGCCAATTTACGCCGTTCGCAGGGGATATGGTGTTTATCTGATTGCAGAATTGTTTCCCTGAAGACTTTCTCGTCTTTGTAAACATCGCTAGGATCCTCTTTTTGAGAGAGTATCTCATCTACTTCATTTGCGAATTTATCCCAATCAGCTTTATCGAGGTTTATGTAACTTTTGTTGGGAGCGAGTCGGGTGGGAGGGTTACAGTGGGTTGAGATTTGTGCTGCCACATTGCAGGATCGGGCGATAGTCTAGGATGCGAGAGAGATGCCAGGGGACAATGTTTGTTTTGAGGTGGGTTTGTTCTTCCGAGTTGAGGGGGATTGTAGTGGAGCCCCTTGTTTCGTCCGATATCAGTAGTCCTCGGTAATTTTGGAATTCTAAGAGGGGACTGTGAGCGTTGGCATCACCGACTACAAGTCCTTCTGAGTCAAGTAGTCGGTGGTTTATAGATCCTTGGTATCCTTGCGGGCACGCGTATTGCCGAGGTCTGTAGAATTTTGTCAGGGATCTTTACTTATGTTCTTCTGGGATTCCACTGAGAGTGGCGAGTGCGAATTCGAAGTTTCACAGGGGACGTTTTTGGCTATTGCGAAGAGGAGGCCTCCGTCTTTTTTTGCTGTCGTTGCAGACAAAAATATAGTTGCCAAGAAAGGAAGTTTTGCTGTTGCAATTGAGCTCGGTTTCTTACAGAGCAGCAATGTGGATCTTGTTTGTTTCTAGGTGGAGGGTAAGCGCAAGGGCCTTACCACCGAAATCGTTGCAGTTTAATTGCAATAAGTGAAGACTCAGAGGAGTCATGGGGGATGATAGATTAAAGTGGGCGGTTTCTCGGGGGGGGGGGGATTTAGTTGTTTGGGTGTTGAGTGCGGGTGGAGGTGTTTTGGACCGGTGTTCTGGTTGACGTGGAGTGTCTTAGACTGAGGGAGGGATATGGTGTACTGGTGAGTGTGATGTGAGTGGGTGAGTGAATAGTTGATGAGTCAATGAGTGGCGTTGGGTGTTGCGAGTGGCGAGTGGGCTAATAAATCGGAGTTTTTGTAACGTTGACTTTAGAGGGACCTTAATTGAAAATAAATTAAATGATCAAAGAAATGCATGCGTTCAATTCTCATCATCTAATGGAAATGAGTTGCACAATAAACGTACAAGTCACGTAACTCTTAAGTTTCACCTCATTTTGTCCTTTTTTATGGAATTTTGGACGAAATTCTGAAAGACACATAGTCTGGCACGAGGAAGATTGGCTAAACTTCGAAAAATGAGGTATTGTTTTTTTTTGTTGTTTTTTTCTGACCTTGGCTGTACAAGAACTTCAGTGCTGATACAATGTCTGATCGGTTAAAACAACAAAAATTTCGACGCACATGTTCTCATTTTGATGTCACCTTAATGTTTTCATTTTTGTTCTCATTTTGATGTTGTTTTACAGCATACTTAATGATCTTTGTTTAGTATTATGTTTCCTTAAGTACAAAGTGTTGATGTGTTTCCAGTTCTGTGACTTCTTGGAGTCCCACTACCTGGAGGAACAGGTGGACTCGATCAAGGAATTCGGAGACCTCATCTCTAGAGCCAAGAAGTGTGGTCCCGGTCTAGGAGAGTTCCTATTTGACAAACACGCTTTTGACAGCGAGGACGAAGCACCCGCCAACTAAGCGAAACTGATTATCAACAAAAACTCGTCCAGTGGACTAGGAACAAATTAAGACCCTAGAACTGATTATTATGTAGAAAAAAAAAACTGAAATTCTCAAGTAGAAATCATTACAGTGGTGTTTGTACGAATCTTGACTTGTAAACATTTTCTTTGATTGATTGGTTCGTTGATTGTAAATTAGGGCTTGGCTAGTGCCAATTGTTTTTCAAACGGTATAATTTCTTGGGTGCATCGTGTGAATTCTTAACTTTACGTGTCACAAATATAATGCAATACAGCTATCTCTCACCGTAGAGATGCTGATGTTCACTTCAAATACTGCTAATCCACTTATTGTTTGCTGTGCAACTTAGATATCGAAATTGGTCAACATTGTATAAAATTGAAGTCCTGTTCTGCCCAATGTGAGTTTTCATGAGTGGTGTGATGAAGGAGCAGCTTTCTTCTGTCTGAATTGGGTTGCTGCAAATTTTGAGCGCTGATGCCTTTAATAATTTTTTTCCTTCCGGAAACAATTCATATTTACTCAGCAGTACTCGCTACTCAATTTGCAAGAATGCGATATTTTTGAAAGCTTTTTTTTCAGCAAAAATGGCTTTTTAAATTGAGGGGTTGAGTGCTCCCGTGTCTGGTTATCAACAGCTATGCGGAAACAAGCTAGGGCAGTCTTTTTTTCCTACTTCAGCTGCACTTAAGTTGTGTGCAAAGCTTCTGCGTTAATTAAAAGTAATCTAGCAATATTGGTTTTTAAAAACCACTTTCCTTGCTGCCTGAAATGTACGAAGAAAGTATACGTGGAAGTAATAGTAGAAAGTCACTTAGCGATGGAGTCATAGCAACAACTGCTTTCACGAATAGTTTCGTCGTATATGTCAGGCAACAAGGAAAGCGCTTTGTATGACTCAAAGTCCGACGGTGAGAGCTGGAATCCGGTTTAAATTTTTTTCTCAAGTATTAGTTTGAAATGTATAATCAAATTCTGAAAACAAATTCATGCGCTGAAAACAGCAGTGAAATTTTTAAGTGAATTAGTGTTCATGAAAGTTTTCCATGTTTTTTTATGAAGTAGGCTTTTTACTCTTGCGATAAGTCTAGATACTAGATTTTTCTCCGTAATTAACTTTGTTCACTGGGCTCACTTATATAATTCCTTATATCATAAATTCAATCAGCCACATGGCGCATCTGGCGTAGAGGTTACTCAACAACATGAAACGGCAAAGGCTTAAGATTCGAATCCGGCAGGGCTCTGTCTTTTTTGCAAACGTTGGTGCTTTTTCGGACTATCGTTCGTCCGTTTATTTTCGTCGACTTAATTCCCGTAGCCCAATTTTCTTGAAAGCTCAGCTTTCGTCTACATTGCTGTAAACCCATGCTTGACGACAAAGCCCGGGAGTTCGATTACAGTCGAGATCTGTTTTTTTTCTGCAAACTGAAAATGTTCGGCTGTTTTAGATTTTGGTCTGTCTGCTTATTGTGGCTTACTTTTTTTGAATGTTCGACTTATTTCTAGCTTTCCAAAAGTTCAGTGAAAAGTCTTGAATGGTGCCGGAGCTTTCTGGGCTTTTTAAAATTTTCGAAGTGTTTTTTTTTCAATTTTTGATTTTTTTTTTCATTTGATTTAAATCCCAGTCTTTCGTTTTTGTATCGCAAGTGATGTGAAGCTCAGCCTCGACCGTGTTTGAATTATTTTGTGTTAGAGAGTGGACGGACCTTGCTTACTTTCAAGCCACTGTTAAGTGGAAAAGCTTTTCAATCTTTTGATTGATGGCCTGTTCGTTCCAATAATTTAGTAATTTTGCCTGAAACATGGCATGATTTTGAATGTTAAAAAAAACGTCATTTTCAATTATCGAAGTCGTGATATTTTTTCCTTTTTTTCCAGGAAAAATTAATTTTCGCGCTTTGGTTTATGATTTGTTTTTATGTTCAGCTCATTTCGTTTATATGAATAAGGATCATGGGCATTTTTTCTCATCCACCTCATGTTATACAAAGGTAAATGAGCTGAGCGTAAAAAAATAGAAAAGTACTTTCCAGCTTTCTCTAAATGAGATAATTTGAAGAAAAGAGTGCCAATCATAATCATTTCTCAATATTCGAAAAGCTTAGGAGTTTTTTCCTCGAAAATTCAATTTCCAATAATTTTCAGTCAAATTTTCTGTATCCATGAGTTTTTCTATTTCTTCAACTCCGAGGGCAATGTTGCTTCGCCTCAGTGTCTTAAGTTTGTTCCATATTTGCTTGCTGAATGGAAACTGCTTCGCCTCAGTGCTGCTTCGCCTCAGTGCCTTCGCCTCAGTGCCTTAAGATCTGCTTCGCCTCAGTGCCTTAAGTTTGTTCCATATTAGCTTGCTGAATGGAAACTAAATTATGCTATCCAATAACTAATGAGGCAAAGCAGTCTTGGGTTTAAGTTTTAAGATAAGTAGACTAGCAAGCGTATTGTTATAATACGAATCTACTTTTTTCCCCAACCTTATCAATAAGTGCGCATTTTGTGGCTTTTAAAAAGCATCTGTCTCTCTGGTGAAAAGTTCTCGCCTATATTTAAGCGACTATGATGAAGGTGCAGGATCGGGAGACCCCTAAGCTCTAGGTCATGTGTTTGCTTCCTGCCAATAGCAAATGGTTTAATTTTCATGAATAATTTCACTAACTTACTTTTCGTTCAATATTTTAGAGTTAGTTTTTGCCGTTTTTCCCTGGTGCTTGCCAAGTGCAGCATAACCTCTGCGTAAAAACTTGTTCCAATTTTTAAAATAAATTTCAGTGAATTAAATCAAACCTTTAGATCCACATTTCTCAAATAGGCTTAGGTTTTTAAACGAGCATCATTTTAAAACAAACATCTGTGTTGAGCGCAACTTTAAGTTTTAATGATAAAAACAAACTTTAAAAGTATATTAATAAGACGTAGTTGGTAATTTGCAGGGTTTTTTCGAGGTAGTTATCTTGGGTTTCGAAGTGCAATTGGAACTCAAACTGTGTATCAAAATTATCTGACCAACAAAAATTTCCAAAAATGAAAATAATGTTAAAATGTAAAATATAAAGACGCTGAATTGATTGTATACCTTTTTCCAATTTTCATTTTTTTTGCGTCGTAAATCTCATGTTGCCGTTTTTCTATTTGCGAGAACGCGCCTTGTTTTATTTGTTTTGGTGAATCGGTGCGTAGCATGTGTAAAACTAGTTTCTTCTATTAAGTGAACTAAAAACGTAACGATGCTTTGTTCAAGTGGACAACATAGTAGCAGACAAAAATGCCATTTTTTCAAAAACCGCTCTCTACTGTTAGTCGAAAAAGACAAATGTGAATTCAAACTGCCGTAATCGAACTGATATAGTTATTATTACAATTGCGACTAGATTTTCTTTAATAATTTTTCATGGAAATTTCTATGAAGTTGAGGTTGCGTATTCAATTAACCGTTTTAACTTCCATGTTTTTTGCAATTGGCATAGAGGTACGGTGATTGTGCGGACCAATAATCGCTCCTCGGTTTATTGTGGAAGGATTTCGATGCTGGATATTTTGGCAGCATACGCTATTCGCTTTTAGAAAACTGGAAAATTTGCATGCATTAATGATCTTAAATTGACCTCATTGACCAAAAAATGCAAGCTTCTGCTACCCATTTTTGACAAAAGTGTCAAAAAGGACTAATTATCTGTTACCGATTTTATTTCTTTTGTAATACTTACATAGATTGGCATCTGGAACAAGAACTTCAACTTTCGAGGATATTTTGTCGGCTCAGAGTTACGCCGCATGGGTTCATAAATGCGTTGAGTAGAAAGAGTTTACAAACAAAGGTTATAGCAGGAGTAAACAGCAGTGTTCCGCTGCGAAGCGTTGATCAAAAAGGTCCAAGAGCAGCATGCTGTGCTCCCCATTTTGCTGTTTGAGCAATATGAAATTAGGGGTGCCGGACATCAAGCCGACGGGACTTCAAGCCGAATCGTAAAATTAGGGACTTCAAGCCGAATAGTTCCTTATAAACTAGTGAAATATGATTAATTTGAAAACCATTTTGAAGAGTTTCCGAATTTCATGATCTTTCTTCACAAGTTATTGGCGTTTTCATAAAATTTAAGCCTTAAAATGATGTTTCGGAAAGTTGGAAAGTAAAACATGGTTGAAGGCATTTTTCAAGTTTATAATTTATGCATTTCAAAAACCGGCTGATGTTATTAACGGATGCCAATCACAAGCGGTGCATTGTCATGAATAACGTTTATTATGGGCTAAACTTGCCAAAATTTTTGAAAAATAACGTTTTACAGATGATAAAATAGTGTTTTGAGGCGCTTGTAAAGTTTTAATTTCGGCTTGAAGTCCCTTCGGCTTGAAGTCCCGTCGGCTTGTTGTCCTAGACCCGAAATTAGTTATAAGCTGTCAGATGGTTTGAACTTTACAAAATGGAATGCTCGTTTTCCGGTATAAACAAAAAAGGTTAGTCTTTTTCCTGCTCTTAGACTCTGTTTTGCTCCTTGACTAGGCATCACAGCCTTGCTTACTCTTGCGATTAGCAGGTGTCATCAAACAAGAAAATATAGTTTTTTTTCGTGTTAACAACTAGTTTAACAAAACCAGTTGAATCAGTTATCACGGCTTTTTTTATAGCAACAGATCAAATTGCCTGTCAACAGGTTGTTTTTGAGCATGTCTGTATTTTAAATAGCCACTCATTCGAGTTGTTGTTGCTGGTTGTAATGCAACTCCTGTTTTTAGCTTTCTTTTTTCAGTTAATATTTTTCGCTTTCTTTCATTTTAATGTTTTTTTTTTGGAATAAATAATTTCGTTTGATGAAATTAGGTTTATTTGCTTCAGAATTCGTCGTTTGAAGCACCAAATTGTTAAATAGCTTTTTTTGCTTCAAAAGTTTGGGAGGCGTAAAATTTAGGATTTTTTTTGCTTAAAAGGTTTTATAGCTCAACTTCGAATTTTTTTCGGCCTTACAGTCGTTTAAACAAGTTTTGTCTGCTCTGTAGCCGCTTGATGATTTTTTTTTGCTTATTTACCATGGCAATGTATTTCTCAGTAATTTTATTTATATATACCCGCTTTCCAGACAAATGTTTTTAAAAAATGATGTTACACTTCTGCTGCATTTTAAACGAAATTCCAACTACTGATTTTTTCAGAAAAAATTTTTTCAATCGCATTGACTCATTTTTGAAAACAGAAAATACGTAAAACAATTATCTTCATGCATTTCGGAGAGAAGGAAGAAGCTGAGAACCGAAGACCATATTTAGTGCGTTATGAAATCACCGTCAGGCCCCATAATTGAGTTGGATAACTTTTTTCTCAAAACTCGATGAATTTTAAGGAACTATGTAATTAATTAAAAGCTAATTTACATACCAAAAATCAGGGTTGAGATCAGAACGTGCGTATGCCTATTTCCTATTGGCTAAAATTATTCAAAAAAACTTGTTATTCATTTTGTTCACAAGGTGTCTAATTAAAATTGACATTGAGTCAGCATTAGTTGCAAAGTTTTTGTCACGTACACAAAAGTCACCTACGCTATACTGCCTTGTGCAATTAATTTTGCTGTTTCAAAAAATATAGTTTTACTTGTAATACAAAGTTTGAAACATACTTTTTGTGGTATCTACCGAAGAATCTCTACCCCTCCAATTAAAACAGTACACCAGCCCCTGATTAGCTTTGTATTAAGAATTACAGAAAAAGAATTTCGTTGCATTCAGATTGGTCGAAAGTTCGACTATCTTAATCAACTGAACAAATTCTCCGCTTCGGGAAAGGGAGATATTCTAAATAAATTCGAAATCTGATGCACTATGGCGTTACTGAGAAGGATTAAGGAACAATATTCTATACAATCCAAGCAAAAGCATCAAACGATTGGTTTTTGCCAAATTATGCAAACTTTGTTCAACTGCCTTTAAAAGTACGAAAAATTTAGGCTCAATTTTTTGGAAAAAAGCTCGCTTCGATATCAAAAAAATTGTTTTCACGGAACTTTATGAAATTAATTTAGTTTGTTTTTGAAATTGCCCGAAGTTGCGAGTGCAGTACGTAAACTTCCGCTAAAGCAGTGAGGTCAGAAAGCAGGTTAAATTGACTGTTTAAAATCTGATTGGCTGAAAAGAGTACGAAATGTGAAAACTGGCCCTATTGGAATCGAATTGATAGTTGAGATATGCGTAATTTCGTCTGGATATTGATTTGTTAGTTTTTTTGGCAAAAGTTTACTTTCCTAGAGAAAAGAAGTTGGAATTTTGGTTTGCTTACTGCCCTCTCGGGTTGACCTCAATGCACAGGATGTGCTTATCATAAAAATTTATACAACAACAACGTTATTCTTACAATTCCATAAATGTAATTTTTGGTAAATATGCCTATCATATCATTTATAAAATTAAATTTTTATGATAATAGCTTTTTTGAATGGCCATAAAAATTTTCAAAAGGAAAACGCCTAAAATTTGCCAAATAATATTATTTTTCTTTTATAAGTCACACGATCACTTCTAAACTCATACAAGTTCTTCATTTTTTTTTTCGTATATGTATGCAGTACTACACACTCACAAAAAGAAAGAAAACAAAAAAAGAGAAATTTGTGCCAACGATTTTTTGTTTCATTGTGAGGTGATTTTCAAATTTTGAGAAATAGAGACCGCTAAATACAATTGTGTTCATGCATTTCTAAAAAAAAAGAAGAAGCTTAAAATAAAGACCATAATATGCGCGTTATCAAATCACCATCACGCCCCAGATTTGAATTGGATAATTTTTTTTTCAAAAAAGATAATGGTTTTTAAGAAGCTATGTAGTTAAGTAAGTAATCTTTCTCGAAACCTTTTTTTTTGGGCTGGCTACCGTGCCATTTTTGTTGTAAAAATTGATTCAAAAATTATCAAGAAAAAGAAAAATCGGAGTATTTGTTTGCTTATTGTTCTTCCGGGTTAACGTCCATGCACAAACAGTGCTTATGTTGAATTGTTTTACAGTAAAAATTGATACAGTTTTACAGTTGATGCAATTCCATAAATGGAGTCTTTGGAAATAATGTTTATCGTGCAATTTGTAAAGTTAGGTTTTTGGGTAATAATTTTTTTTGAATGGCCACATCAGTTTTCGAAATGAAAAGTTCTAAAATTCAGTCGTTGTTTTTAGTCTTACACTCACTTTCAAACTCATACAATTTTTTCTCAATTTTATGTTTTTTCATGCAGTAGTGTACACAAAAAAATCAAGAAAACAGAAACTGATTATTCTGTGTCTATGAATTTTGTTTTTGTTTTTCTTTTGTGAGGTGATTTGCAAATTATTCAAAGAATCAAGCCACGATATCCAAAAACTACTTTTCCCTAGAATAAAAATTTCCAACCGCCATGTAATCTCTACTGAGAAGTAGAGAACGCTTAATACAATTATGTTAATGCATTTTCGAAAAAAAGACGCTGTATGATCATTTCCTATTGGTTAGAATCATTCAAAAATTATTTCTCAATTCCGTTTAGAAGAAATAACAAAAAAAAGAAAACATGAAAAAAGCTTCTAACGCCCCGGGTTGACAAAAAATGCTTATCACACTTTTTCACAGACCAAAAAAATACTATGATATTGTATGACAAGCATTTTTTCCATAAATGAAAATAACAAAAAAAATTGTTTTGAATTTTTTATTTCATCCGGAACACTAACCCTGGACTTTTTGTCATAAGACAACCCAGAGTATAACTGGCATTTACCACGCAGATAAACTGCATTTGGTGATTTTTTTCTACCTACGTTAATTAGTACATTTTCACATGGATTTATATACCAAAAATGTAACTTTTTGTATATGGCTAGATAGTTTTTGGTTTGAAAATTTTGGTAGTTGAGAAAAAGTCCTGTTTTTTTTTACAAATTTATTTTTATCTTAGCAAATGAAATAAAAAAAACAAAAATCGTGTTCACAAAAAAAAAACAATTTTTTTGTGGTTTTTGGATTTTTTGGGTAAAAAACTCATCCTGGACTACGTTAAAAACACAGAAAGTCAAAATTTGCATGCAAAATTTTTTTTCGCAAAATTGTGTTTTTGCTTATGAAAAAACGCATACTACACAATTTTCATATATGAAAATTATATGATAAGCATTTTTTCGACCAAAACTAAAATCACGTTTTTGAGAGTCAAAATGCATTCTTTAAATAAATTTTTTTAAAACTCATATAAGTTCATCCAGAATCATCGTTAAATTAATTTTGAAGTTTTATTTTTATTTTTGTTTTATTTTGAAGTTTTATTCAAAACGCTTATAATACGATTTTCATATATAAAAATATTATGATAAGCATTTTTTTGACCAAAATTAAAATCATGTTTTTATTGAGCAGAAAGATTTAAAAGATGGAAAAAGAACAGAAGTGCTTCTTTTTAGGAAAAGAAAACGTTTAATACAGTTTTAAAATTTTGTATGAAAATTGTATGACAAGCATTTTTTCCATAGTCGCCATATATGAAATTGTTTGATACGCATCATTTTACTTTTATGGATGTCAACCCGGGCGGCATTTTGAAGTAGAACTGCTTTCCTAAAAAGTGAGCAGTTGCTATGCTTCGCGACTCTGCGCTTACATTTGGTACGATACGCAAAGTGCTCTAAAATCAGTTTTGCTGCATAGTAATAAAATTGAAAATGTGACCGAATTGCTTGAAAGTTCAGTTCGGCTGATTCTTTTGTTTCTGAAGAAGCGGTGTACTTTCGGCTGAATTTTCTGAATTTCAAGTTGGCTGAATTGACTTTTGCAGAACATTCTGAACGCAAATTTATTCTCAAGGCGGAAGCGGTGAACTAACTCGGCTGGAAAATGTTTCCAAAATGATCTGAGGCTATTTGCTCTTATTAACCTTGTGTTAATAATATATTTGATCTTGCTCCTATTGATAATTCAGATGCGAACTATACCACGTTACATGTCGGAGGAGGGTTTTTTGAAAAATCAAAACCATTCCAAAGACCATAAATGCAGTGGAAAGATTCAGAGCATACGAGTTTTCTTCTTTGCTTTAAATTACAAATCCATAAACTAAATTTGATCCATATCAGGGGCGGATCTAGGATTTTCTCGAGGGGGGGGGGCGTACTTTAAAAATTTTTTTTTTAGGTCGACCAAATTGAGTTCCGAGCTCTCTTAAAGCAGTAAAAAGACCCTGTTTTGGCCAAATTTTCTGCGCCGCAGGCAAATTTTTGAAATAACAGGTAAAAAAGCCGCTTTTGGGCACTTTTTAAAAAATTTTAACAAAAAATCGCGTTTTTTTTGGCGCGCGCTCCTCAAAGTTAGTATATATTGGCGCGCGCTCCTCAAAGTTAGTATATATTGGCGCCTTCAGAAAAATTTTAGGGTCGGTCGGTCAAAATTGGATTTCTTAAAAAGTACTAAAGGGGGGACCCTTTGGGTTGGCAGGGGGTCGAATCCCTGAGGGGGAGGAGGCGTCCGCCAACCCGCCCCCTAAATCCGCCCCTGATCCATATCATATTGTTTCTTAATAATCTTAACGCGAGTCGCTCAAACTTTTTCAGGACGAAAACTAGTGGCTCAGATGTTTTTTTTTTCAGCTACTGCTCAGCTATTTCTTTTAATTTCAGAACAGATTGGAACTAATAGGCCATTTTTTCCCAATAGCGATCATTAAAGAAACTTTACAATAGACTCAGATTATCATATATTTTCATCGCTGTTTCCAGTGAATGTTATACTGGGGCAATATTTGGTCCATATCTTGTAAGATCACCATTTGTGAATAGTTATCTTCTTGTGGGTTGACCAAATGGGAATCATGCTCCTTGCAGATATATTTATCTATTTGCATCATGGGGCATGAGCGGGCCTCAATTTGCTTTCCGATCAAAACTCGAGCCATGATCAAACTTCCGGCAAATCTTTCTCCTCCAGCATAGTGTATAGCAACGTCTGGGAACTCTGAAAAGTATACACCAAATCCATGACGTGTTCGCTGGATTTTATCCAGGCTGAAGTTGTCTTTCATTATTGGGTCTGGGTCTTTCAGAGGAGTCCCGTGGAACGCAAGAATCTCTTTTGCAAAATCTTCTCCTCTATCCCTCTTTAAGTTTTGTCTCTTAGTGTGATATTTAGCCTCCAAAACAGGGTTAATGAATAGATCAACACTTTCTACAGAAGCCCGCAGTCTAGTATTTCCGAGACGGCGAAGAAAATGACTTTCTGCAATGTGAAAGTAATACATTCTGGAGTCGTTGAAATTTAACTCTCTGCTTGACTCCAGTCTCAGTTTCTGGAACACTCCAGTTCTCCATTTTTCCGCGTAGCTTTTTTCTTTTGGCTTTAAATTCAAATCCGATGCAATTGGCTGCTTTTGACCTGTTGACGTAGACGAACTATTTTGCTGTGACTGAATATACGCTTGCAAAAGTTCCTCTGGTGGGCCTCTAAATCCTGCGTTGCGGATAATTGCAGCATCTTTTTCGCTTAACCGATGTTCATAAGGACATGAGAGACCGCGTGTACAATTTGAAGAGACGAAATGCTTGCACAAATGAATATAAAGACACTCACCACCTCTTTCGCAACCCTTTCGCGAGGTATAACGACTACACACGCTTGGTAACCCGCGATACGTTTTTTTGAGTTTCAGTTTCTCTCGGATTTTTTGCCAAAATATAGGATCATCTGGACTGAATCCAGCATCTCTAATCTTCATTTGTTCCACATTCGTAATCTGATGAGATCTCTTGCACTCGGGTCCAAATTTGCAATCACCTCCTACCCAGTATTGGCAAAGATGTAAGACAGGACACTTGACACTCGTACAGCCTTTTTTAATGTTGTAATTCTTGCAAAGATCGGCCCCTGGATTAAGAACTTCATTTTCCGAAGACGGGTTTTCGCGGCTCGAAAATGCGCCGTATTGGTCCATATTGTGAAATTGAACAAAGAGAAGCAAAACCAAAACTGCTTAGTATCAAGACAAATCTCTGAATGCTCCAGTTACAATTTTCAGTGTTTAAGTAAATATTGGTTGAAAACTTGATACAAAGTTTAAACAGATATAAGGCTAAATAATTGTTTTTCTTTTGAATTTCCCCCAGAACTATTAAGACCACCCGCATTCAAGCTTAAGCGCAAGTAATCGATTATAACGCATTATTATGATGATTTTTGGACAATTATAATTGATTATAGTTACCAAAATTAGGTCTTTAAAAGATTTATAATTGATTAAAATCGTGATATTTTCCAAGAGATTATATTCTCTTATAATCGATTATAAGAGATTATAATCTCTTGGAAAATATCACGATTATAATCGATTATAAGCCCTTAGTTGATTAAAGTTCTTACAAAAATCCTTTAAAATCATTTATAATCGATTATAATTGATTATAATCTCTTATTTTGCCAAAATTTTGTCAGTTCAAAACAATATTCGAATCTTATGGGTTATTAATTTTATGTCAATAAAAAAATCTTTAAAACATAAGCAATTTAGATGCAACTTCAAAGACAAAATGGACAAACAAAAGGGATTATAATCAATTATAATCGATTATAATTCTATCGAAAAATAGACGAATAAATACTCAATTATAATCAATTATAATGTATTATAATTAATTATAATTTGATTTTAAAAAGAGAGATTATAATCGATTATTAATTGAATAAAATTGATTGTTTCTCAATTTTAGTATGACTGGTACTAAAAACGTAATAAAATCGATTAATAACGCTTGAAACTGGATGCGGGCACAAACAATATATTTCATCGCAACTACTACATTGTGTGGACCAATCATCGTGCCTCGGTTTATTTTGGAAGGATTTTTAGGCCGAATAATTTGGCAGCGTACTCTATTCGTTTCTGGAGAATAGGAAAAAATCGGTTTAAATTGAGCAAATTGAAAAGGCATGAAATTATAGGTTTTTAAATTGCATCTTTCATTACTTATTAAAAGTCATATAACGCATGGTAGATGAAATTGGCTGTATTGGGGGAAATGCAAAAATGCAAATCTTTTAAAATTTTAAAATTCATAGTTTTTTTCAATTGTTTCCTTATGGCACAAAACAGCGGAAACAAGGAGAATGGCAATGAAAATCTTCAGAGTTTTGCCCTGACACGGCTCGTTTTGTTTTAAAGTAGTTGTAGTAGAGCCAGATCTGAAACTATAAAAGCATTATTGCCGGGTGACTAAAGCATGAATGCTAATTTACAATTACAGAGGCATCACATAATTTTTTGTTTCTTTTTCTTGTAAAAGTTTGTGTTTGAAATTTTTGGAATACGACGACTAGTCCCAGTAGAATTTTTGATTTGCTCGATACTTTGAAAACCCTCCACTCATTGGGTCTCATTGGGGGCATTTTTTTCCTAAAGTTTGTTAGTACTCAGAGACTTTTCAAAAGCTTAACTACATTGATACTTTTGAATTACTACTAGAACGCTTCTAATCTGAAAACTATTTGTGAAAATTTTGATCTGAAAAGAATTTTTATGTTTCTGTTAGCTTTGGCTAATGAGGTTTTCGTGAAATCGCAATCAGTTTAGTTAATTTGCGAACCGTTTTTTCCTTTTTACTCTTGCGATAGCAAAGGTATTGCAATCATGTACTAAACTTTTTTCCCGTAACAACTTTGTCGATAGATTTCAGCATGCATGCAGTACACGACATGCATGCAGTATACGCGGGGTACATTTGCGCTCATTGGTCTTTTACTCTCACTGTGCATCCTTATTTGTGTTACTCTAATAAATTCAACCTCAGTAAAGGTATTTTTTGAACTTTCGACTTCGTCGCTTTCCGTTTACTTTTGTCGTTTAGTTTCCGCATTGTTTTTACCATCCAACCAGCTTTTTTGTGTATTATATAAAAAATGGCTTATTTGAATTTTAGTTTTTTAAATAATATAATGCTTTTAGTATTCTGATTTTCCCCGCTGTTTCTTTGTAATTTTTTAACCTTCACACCGTATGTATTTCCTTTTTTTCAATTAAAATTTTATTCTGCCCAAATGATTTTGGCCTATGTTTTATCGGCTAAGTGATCTAATTTTGAGTTGTTTCAACAGAAACAAATTTCTAATGCTCATGTGTGGAGTGAAAAAAATGCTTAACATCTTAATACAATTTATAGTTCAAATTTTTCATGACAACAATTTTTTCTTCGCCTTTCGTGTTTTTTCGACTTGATAGACTTCAACCCATACTATATCGACGAGAGAAAACAGTGCGTGTGTGGGTGTCTGTGCTTTGAGGGCAAGGGGACTTAATATTTTCTTATTAGTCCTAAATTGTTTTTTTTTTTTCGTTTTTTGTTTGAGCTTCTCAGGTTTCGGGCTGTTATGTATTGGCTTAGTTGTCTCATATTGTTTCACTTGACAAAAAATAATATTTTTTGAGTGTTTTGAGGGCGATCGAGATTTTCCATAAGTCTTAAGTCTTGTTTTTTTTTCGACTTAAAAGGTTTATGCCAAAGTATATGTTACCGCTTGGTACATTATCTTCCAATGCTTATTTCGCATTATATTGTCTCGGCATGTTTTTGTTTCAAAATAACATGATTCATTATGATAGATCTATTTTTTTTTCGTTATTTTCGATTTTTTTCCGATTTTTTGTGTTGTATCGCAAATGGTGCAAAACTCAGCTTTGTTTATGTGTTGTTTTTTTGATCATGGGTTGTGAAAATTGATCAAGCTCTCAAAATGTTTATTTCTTTTTGCATCTTCAAAAAAAAAGATTTTCATTTCGCTCTCGAGCAACACAATCTGCGTAAAACTTTGGCTAATAAACGGCATATCGTTGCCAAGATTTTTCGCCGTTTTGCTAATTGTTATGATTAGGTGGGGGCAATATGCAATTTTTAAGTTGCTGTTTGTCGTTTGTCCTTATACTTTTCTTGAAAACTGCCAAAGGCCTAATTGAAAAGAATTGCAAAGTTTTCAAATTTTGAGTTGAAAATGAGGTGTTTTAGTTTTAAGCAGATTTTTTTGCGTCAAAATTTTACTTCTTTATGATAATAAAAAACTAATAATAACAGTGATAACTATTATAATCACAATAATAATAAAAATAATCATAATAAAAAAAATTATCATAATGATACTAAAATTAATAATCATAATAATCATAATCATAATAATCATAATATAAATAAAAATTTCATGAAATATCCAGGGCAAATGACTCCCATAATCACTATTCCTCATTAATTATGATTATAATTTTTGCACCGACAGCTTCAAGTTGTAGATTCGACCGCTTTACGTTTAGATGATTGGGCCTTTTTTCAAGTATGCTCTGTTTTAACCAGGATACCTTTTGAGCTCCCGAAATGTGAATTTTGTCATAAACTTTTTTGTAGCTGCCATATTTGTCAGTACATGAACGATTTAATTGATTAGATTTTAGACGCTCCAGTCTCTTATCAATATAACCTTATGTATTAGCGCATTTGAAACAGCCTCTTCCATGTTTTTCTGTTCAAAAATACTGAGTCAATCTCGAATACAAAAAGAATGAAAACTTTTTTGATCTCAAATACTGAAAAAATGAACAGCTTTCCGGTATCAAATACTGAAAAAATGAAAACAAACTGAGGTCAACTGTTTTATGGGTTACATTTTTGAGCTATGAATAGATTTCATTCATTCCTAATACTAAAAGGGTACATTTAAGATTTCAATGAAGAAGTATTTATTTCTTATTTGACTCCACTAATAATAATTAAATCCTTGCTTTTAGAATCCGCATTTGCCAGATATTAATTCTAGCTATAGGTCTCAATTCTTTACGCAAGGACTGATTCAGTTCATAATAACAAACAAGTATACGATCTAATTATAATTGTGGAATTCGCTCACATTTTGCGGGATCCGCTTACAGTTGCGGAATCCAGGACATCTAGCTATGTTCGTTTTTGCGGAATGCGCAAAAAAACAACTGTACCGACAAAATTTACATTACGCGTCTTTGTACGCCGAATCCACAGAAATTTTGTAAGCGTAATCCATTGATATTTTGAACATGTTCAAAGACTTGTCTCTGGAATCAACTAACTGACATACACCAAAATGTGCGGCTATCCAGTGCACAGTTTGGCCCCGTAATTGTTTTCTCCTTTCAGAATCTATTGGAAAGAACTAATTTATATGTTTTTTTAATGTTTTTCAGTTTTTTGTCATGTAATTCAACTGAGTTCACTCTTGCTCCCCTGACATTTCAAGTTGATCAAACTTGCTCGTGAATCATGGAATTTTCTTGACAAGGCTTCTTTATGGAGCTATCATATCGAAGAGGAATCAACTCAAAATTGACAAATTTCACTGACAAAAAATCACGCTGAAAGGACACCCGCTTTGACAAAAAAGGTTTTGGTTCAAAGTAAATTGATTTCAAATCGATTTTAATTTGATCAGAATCAATTAACAATGTACATTTTAGGAACTGACATAGATTTTATTCAACTTAAATTGATTTTTTCTATTTTTTCTGAGATTTTTGGATCAAAATAAGTGTCTTGAAACCAATTTAATTCGATTTGGAAGGATTTTCTCATTCACTAAATTTTATCCGGATCTTACCTACAACTATCCTAATTTTTGCTAAAGTCCATCTAGTTCCATTTAAAAAGACCCTTAGCAGAAAATCTACAATCTCCATTTAAAATCAATTTAAGCAAAAGCATTTGTAACAAATCAAAAAATTGGTCATCGAGCTCAAAAACATGCAATAAAATAGCAAATTATCAATGTAAGAGTACCCGGCTATTTAAACCATCATTCCAAATTGAATACTTAAAAACAATCTCTTAGTCTTTCTATCATGCTACTAGATTTTATAGATAGTGAAATGAAAAATGATGGTCAACGAATAAATGGAAAACAAACCCAAAACTGATGAAAATTATACATAAAAACAAAAACAACCAAAGGCTGGAAAAAAGGGATTCAAGTCATTTTATATCAATTTGATTGAAATTTTCGTTGACTAAAATCCGACAACCGAATCTTGCTAAAATCCATATGAATCCATTTAATAAAACCCTTGAGCAGATCTATTTTAAGATCTACAAAGTCCATTTAAAATAGACTTAACGAAAAATCAATTTAAAAATTGAAGAAAATGGTCGATATGAACCAAATTTTGAGCCTGAAAACGTGCAATTGAATAAAAAAATATGCTAAATAAAAATCAAATTGTGAGCAAAAACGAATAGAAAGAATGAAAAAAAGGTCAATACTAATCAGATTTTGTGTTCAAAATTATGCTGTGAGATTAGAGACAATTAACAATGTAATCCAATTTTTGAGCAAAAATCAATAGAAAAGATCAGGAAAGTGGTCGATAAAAATCGGTTTGTGCTCAAAAATATGCTATCAAATCATAGAAACTCATGAATTCAAAGCAGAATTGATCAAAAAATCACATAACAAATCAGTAAAATGATTGACACTACTAAAATATTCAGCTCAAATAAATGCAACAAAATCATAGAACATGATCCTTTTGAACCAGATTTTGAGCAATAAAACTATGTAACAAGTCAAGAAAATGGTTGACCTATATCAGATTTTGAGCTCAAAAACATCCAATTGAAATTAAAAAATCATGAACATCAATAAGATATGCCAGAACTTAATATGCTGAAAGAATCAAGAAAACGATTGAAATAAATCGGATTTTGATTTCAGAATACGCAATTAAATCAACGACTGTTATCAATGAAGCCTACGCGGTGATTTAAATCATCATTCAAAATCAAAATGAAATTTGAATATTCAAAACTGTTCAGCTTTTTCATCATGCTCTCAGATACTGTAGATGTAAAATGAATAGTGATGGGGAAAAAAATGCAACACAAACTCAAAGCTGATGCGAAAAAAACTTTGACCTCCTTTAAACAAAAACAAAGTGATACTGGAAAAATCAGATTTAGATCAAATTAAAAACATTTTGGATCAATTTTTTTAGTTGGGAGTTAAGGTCAAAATAAATCAACTTTAAAATGATCCAAATCAATCTGAATTTTTTTATTTCATATTCATCTTTTTTTCATGTTAAATCGATCTCAATTTATTCTGCATACTTTTCTTACTAAAATTCATCCTAATCCATTTTTGTCAGCGCGGTAACAGTAGTACTTTACCATTATACATCCATTCAGCATCAAAGCACCAATTAATTTGCCACATGAAAAGTAAAATACATACAGAGTAGTTGGTTTCAACTTTTCATTTCTAGACTGGGGGAAAAATACTGGGAAATTGCCAAAAGAAACCAAACTTTCACATAAATTTTCCAGGAGTTCTTCAAAAGTTTTTCAGGATAACAACAAAAGTTTAATTAAACATTTTCTTGCGTGAACAGTGAGCTGCGTGTAGTCAAAAACTTTCCACGTGATTTCACTTATTTTCAATTACGGGGATAAAACTAATTTCTCGCATGAAAGCTAGAGATCTGGTAGAAATGTAAATTTGCTTTTCTACCAGATCTCTAGCTTTCAAGTTTTTGATTTTGTTAACTTTTTTCATTTATGAAAACGCAGATCAGATTTTTCGAACAAATTTGTTTTGGAGCTTTATGATCAAATCATAAATTTTTGTAGCTACCGAAGTTCACTAGCCTTGTTTTTGACGAACTCTTGCTCTTCGAAGAAATATGCTAGCTACAGATAATAAAAGGGATATGATACAAAATTGGTTCGGAATAAAATCAATAAAAAGGAATTGAACCAATATTGGTTTAGAACAAAATTAATAGTCAGAACATGAATCAAAAATGGTTTGTAACAAAATCAAGAAAATGGATATATGAATCATCCAGTAAGATATGAATAAAACTTTTGCGCGGCACATTTATATGCGCAAATTTTTATAAATGCACGTGGGACTGACTTGATAAGAACAACGCTTATTGTAGTAAAGAATTGATGCTATGCCTTTGAGCGGTCCGATAGTTTTGGAGGCCGATCGTTTAGCAGACCAAAATTTTAGCACAAAAAAATGAATCTTTGAGCACACCAACATTATAAACTGATGCATGATTGATTGGCTGACTCAAAAAGACGTTCAGTTTTGAATCAAGCTTCCCTAATTAAGACAATTCTCTCACTATTTGTCAACAAAACTGTCAACTTCAAAAACAAAATAGTCTAAATTAGCAGCAAAACAAAGATGAGCGCGCGCAGTAAGACTCATGCCAAATGGAAACGCAGCGGAGCAAGCGGTCGCTAATCACCAACGCCGCTTTTTGCTCTCCGACTTGCTAATTGCTTCAAGTCTGCTAAAAGATTGATGCGCTAAAAACTAGTCTGCTAAAATCCTTAGTGACCAGATATGAAGTGATTAAAAAATCAGTCCGGGCTGCTTGTTGAATAAGTTATAATTATAATAAAAACAATTCACTGTCGATGATTGGAAACTATATGGATAAAACTCAAAACAAATCAAACAATAAAAACTGCAAACACTTGGCCATCAAACCTCTCCACAAAACTGCTAGTGCCTAGGGCTAAATAGTGATGCTTTTGCTGTTAGTTTTGTTTTATGTGGGGTGCTGGAGCGTTCAGTTACTCAAAATGTCACTAAACTACCGTTTTATCAAAGGAAAGTTTGTTTAAAAAAATGTAGTTCCCTTTTCAAAGAGTTATAGAAATGGTTTTATTGTATCAATGAAAACAAATCTGAGTTTGTAAGATTCAAAAAAAGATTCTTATATTCATTTACATATTTTATACTTCAAACAATACAGAGAAATTGATAGTGCATTTGATTAATACAATAACTCTGCTGTTTGGTTTATTGCTCTGACCCGCCAGTTTTTGGTTCGCTGATTCGTCCCTTTGTTGGCCCTCGAAAATTCAGGGTCTCTAATTAGCAGATTAAACAGTCAAATTAACTGGGGAATCAAATGTGTTAACTCCGCACAAAATATGATCATCTACTTCTAAAGTCCAAAGTTTTACCAGCCGAACTATTCATTACCCAACATAGCTTGACTTGACTGTTCGATCTGGCAAAAACAATTAATACAAATGAATTGGTAGGTAGTTTATTTATAACAGTGTACCCGTGAAACTAAAAGAACGCAGAAACCATTAAAACAAAACAGGTATCTAAAAACAAAAATGGGGGCAAGAAATCTGTAGCAAACAAAAACTGTATCAAAAAGGACAATTTAAAAGTTGTTATAAATGGAACAGTTTAAAGCTGAGAAAAATTGAATTGAAACAAAATCTGAAACTTGAACGAGTTTAAGTTGCTGGATCCTAAGACATGTAAGGCCAGTAGAAGTGTCCTTGAAAATTGGAATGTGTTGATTTTCTACTAATAGGAACGAGGTATATTTTATCTATCATCCATTGTATAGTTTGGTGATAACATGTTTCTAAATCGTCTAATCACAGCTGTAACATTTTGCTAAACTAAGTATCTGCCGCACAATCAAAAGTTTGGATATTCGAGACCCATCATGATCCGTGTTCACTACTTGAAGGTTAGACAACATGCCCAGCCCAGAAAAATAACAAAAAAAGAATGTAGTTCTTGAGCAGGGACTCAACGGCGGTTCACCGTGAAGAGCTGGCAAACAGTTCGTAAGTTGAGTCTTACCCTTGTGAGTACATCACCAGAACTTCATTTGTCCAAGCCTAACACAGAAACGCAACGAGAACACGACAAAAAGCAGCTCTATTAAGTTGTATGAAATTAAAGATAAGCCTCTTATTGGTAAATATTTGGCCAAGTCTCGGACTCTATCTCGGACCTAATGCAACTTAAAGAGGATGAATCTCACGCACTAACAACTCAGCCACGGACGCTAAAAAAATTACAAACAATAGCCACAACATAGCAGAGAACAGATGCTATGAAATTTCCATTGCTACAGATCGTGATTGCAGCAAAAGTTCCACCAAATGTAAGAAGACTTTTAAAGAACACCTTCATTTTCGTGTTAGGTTAGAAAAAAAGAAGGTTCGTATTAAAACACTATGCTGATCGCAGTGTAAATAGTTGATAGCTAATTTATTCTGCTCACTGGCTCCAGCATTGTTGCTTTCCATCATGCCCTTTTTGTTCCGACTACTTTTAAAAAAAGGTACGCAATATATATGCTCTTGCGGTTTTTTTATTCTCCAAACAATTTTCGAATTTCAAGTTGCCATTTGAGCCATCTGAAAGATAATGTTGTCCTAAGTTCAACTTCAGAAAAATTTTTCGCTTGTGATTGCTTTTTGTAGAGTTGTGAAGGCTGAAATTTTGGCAATTTGGTCAATTTGGAACAATTAACGCGAAATTTATTTTGTGTATTAATCGCTTATGCAGCGATTTAATCCGGCTTAAGGAATTTATTCCTAAATGAATTGAGGTCTGGTATTTAATGTAAGTTATACGCTAAAAGACATTTGAAATGTCACTTATTACTTTGAATAGCGTGTGCGTGGGTGATTTACAAAAACTAATTAAATACTTCCAGTCGGATCAGTAAGGGCGTCGCCCTTGTACATGCAGTCTTCTCTGTTTTATGTGCACTTTTTCTTCTAAACACGCCTATTCACTTTCAAATTGAAGAAATTCAGTGAAAGTAGATTAGATTGCTTTAAGACGTGAGGAGCATCGTGTGTTTATAGGAATACAAGCTGATCAAAAGTACGGTCAAAGTCGAATATTCTTTAATTGATGTTTTTCAGTATAAGCAGCTTTTACAAGTCTTTGACAAATGTTGGGCTCAGCCACCCGGGTTGACCTCCATACATCGAAAATGCTTATCATACAATTCCACAGAACAAGTTATTTCAAAAAATGGTCGAAAAAAGATATAACTAATTCCTGCGGCTGTTTGATTCTAAAAAAACAGTCTTGTGATAAAAAAAACCGAGATTTTTTTAAAAATACTTACCTTTTGAAATTACCCCGAAAATTTATCGTGATTTTTTCAACCGCAAATCGAATTTGTACTCAAACAAACACTTTCCAAAAAAATTCAATTTTTTTTTGTGTTCTCAACGGAGTCCTGGATACAATAATGTAGGATTTTTTATTTTCACTCAATCAAAATTTTCAAAACCGCTAAAAGCTCCTAATTGTTTTGTATGGTATGTTTATGTATGCCTTAATCAACGCCTGCTCATTTAAAAGTTCAAATTTCAAAACAGTCATCGCTGAAAAAATTAGCCACAATTTAAGTTTCTTAATTTTGTGATATCATTTGTGAAAGACTGCTGCAAGACATTTCAAGTCATTTTCTATGCATTGTAAACACGAGACCGTCTAATCAAGGGTGCTTTGAATAAACAAAGGTCTTTGTTACATGCGTTCGGTTACAAACACAACCCAAAGTTTTTCAGAATCAACTTTTTGTTTTATGGAAAATTACTTCTCATATAATTTTCATTCATAGAACTTTATGTACGTATGGAGTTGTATAGAGTTGTACGGTAAAAACTTTTTCACAATGGAAATTGTATGATAAGAAGTTTTGGTCAACCCGGCAACCCGGGTAATTGGCACCAATTAGGACTTTTTGCTGGTAATTAGAAAGTTTTTAATTACAGTAATAGCTATGTCACAATTTACATTTTTCACAGAATTAAAATTAAGATCTAGATATTAATTGGATACTTTGAAATATTTCCACTGTTTTGGTCCTGGTCAAAAATTGCCCCTCCATCTGTGCAGTAGCGGATTTAGGGGGAGGGGAGGACGGACGCTTCTTCTTGAGGGATTCGAACCCCTGACGACCCAAAGTGTCTCCTCTTTGTACTATTTTGAGATATACATTTTTGGTGACGGACCCGAAATATTTTCTAAAGAAGCCTTTGGCGCCAATCTATACTAATTTTGAGAGGGGAGCCAAAAAGTGCCTAAAAACGATTTTTTTTGCCTTTTTTTCAAAAATTTGTCTGCGGCGCAGAAAATTTAGTCAAATTTGCGTCTTTATAGTGGTTTGGGAGAGCCCAGAAAATCTATTTAGTCGACCAAAAAAAGGTCGACAAAATTTTCAAATTCATTTTTGAAAATCCCCCCCCCCCCTAGTGAAAATCCTAGATCCACGCCTGCATCTATACATGTTTTATTTTTGGTAACTATTTCTGTATTCATTACAAGGCCAAACTGTGCATTTTGTATATTGTAAGCGGATTCCGCAACAAGGACGCTCCATTTGTTCTTCTTTTGTTCTTTCATTTTCTTTGATCGTTCCGACAAAATTTTAACATGTTTAAAGACTTGTCCGTGGAATCCAGGAACATACAGACACAAAATTGTGCGCCTATCCAGTGCACAGATTGGCCTCGTAATGTTAAATATGAATTTTAAAAATGTCAACATTAATCGAGTTTTTTTTGCGAGTTCTTGTTTGCATACTGAATTTATCCTAAATGATGCAACTTAAGAACTTAACTTAAGTTTGTTCTCTGAAAACAGTGAAATCTGAAATCGCCCAAAATGTGATAATCAAGTTTGATCTTAAGAAAATTTAAAAAAGGGGGAGTATTTAACCAGATTCATTCGATGTTTAACTTTTTTGTTAGATTCTTCGGTTAGATCCTACAAAACTTCCCCGATTTAAAAACTTCTTATAAGAGTTGTAGGAAATTTTGAAAATTCCAATATCTCACAACTTTCTTGAAAAAGAAGTTCTAAGAAAGCAACTTTTCGCGAAATTCAGAAAAATTGCCAAAATCTTTTACACTGCGTTTCTGTGCCGTAATAACAAATAAAAAATAAACAACAGATAATAATAAACAGATAAAAATTATAAAGATAAAAACAAACATTTACAAAATAAAAAATGTGTGTTTTTTTTCAATAAATCTTTTGGTTATAACTGATTAGTGCTCTAAATTTGTTTTGGAGAAACTCAAAACTAACTTTGACGATTCATGTCGTAAAGTCCTTGTCTTGTAACATTCTTAGAGCCTAATTTTGCGAGACGTCGTGACATTTTTATGCAAAATTTCTAAAATAGCGACTTTTGGTCATCCCGGTTTCAAGTTTTAAGATTTTTGGGTGTTTTCACGTATCTCACAATATTTACAAGTTTCAAAATGAGACACAAATACTTTTGACGTATTTGCCATTGTTTTTTTAACCTTTATCTTTCTCGTTTGTGTTTTGTCGATTATCGTCTTGGTCTTTTTCTGATCATTCGTGTTAACCCAAACCGTGGTCATTGATAATCATTTCTGATTGCCAGATTTCTCGTTGTACGCCAAATTCCATGGTTGAAATTTCTTTCGGTATTTTGTTTCCTCTGGTTTTATCATAAGTCAGAGAGCATTTCATATCTTCCCTTTTTTTTCTGTAACACTATACAATCAACAGTACCAGTTAGAAATGCCCAGTCGAATTGCGCTCTTTTGACGAGAAGTTTTGTCCCCTCTAAGTGTTAAATGATGAAATCAAAGCGTATTCCACGATCTAATTAAAGTGACATCCTACTAAAAATACTCCTGTTTTTTTTGGCTTTACATTGAAAATTGTGAAATTAATAACTTTTCGAGGAGCAATTAAATCTCCCTAAAACTAGCTACAATTTTGAGTTCTATCATGTGCATAGGAAAATTTTGCATAATGATGATTATTATGTCAAAGGAATGTTAAATCCAGAATTACTGAAAAAAATTTTGGAATTGGTTCTACTTTTTAATCCGACAATTAGATCAAAATCGACATTTAATTGGTTTGATTATCTGCCGTTGCCTCATTTAGGAAATCAATTGACCTTTTCCCATTATTTTGTTTTCTTAACTGCATTTTTGAGTTCAACAGCTTGTACTTCTTGCACTGCCAGCAGTTTATCTGACCGGTTTCATTTATTTTAATGGGTTCAAATTAAATACGGGTGGGTGCGAAAAGGTTCTGTTTGACAAACTCATTTTCAAACTGGTTTTTTTTTAATATTTCAACTTAAGTTAACATCAATATAACATTTAACCTAGAATAGTTTTAAGATCATGCTTATTCCCAAAACATTTAACTTGTTTATCTATCCGGCTATTTTGTTCTGAGGGTTTGCTAAGTTTAGAAAATAAGAAACGTTCAAAACAATTTAGTTTTGTTAAATGAATTTTTATACGTAATTATACGTAATTTTACGATTTCACGTAATCACAGATCAATTTAAAAAAAAAATTAAGCATCAAACAACAACAAGATGTTTGCCTAACTACTGTGTTCGAGAGAAACGGCGCTCTATTGCTCCAAACTTTCCAGAAAGTTCCCCAGAACGACATTTTTGAAATATCTTATAACACTGAGTTATGTCTGAGGTGTAACTCATAGAGTAATTTCGGATAGGGTACACCGTCTGCTCGTCACGCTATCTTATTTTCGGCCGGATAGATTCGTGAAACTTCTTAGTCTAATTCCGATCCTAATCTTACTCTTATATCTACTAGTCTCAGGGTGTTTAACTAGTCTCTGCTAGGCTCAATAGATCTAGAGTATACTGGCTTATTGCGATTGCTAAAGTTCTCTTGGAGAGGTAACTAATTTCTAAGTTAAATTCAAATCTCTCTGGTGCTGAAATTAAAGTAATTTCAGCACTTACAAATAAGTGGGTTGTTAGTTAGATGGATCGTGATTGGTTAATATTAAATTTTTTATAGAGATAAAATATCCAATTTAAAACCAATAATAAATATAGTTTATATCTGGTTCCAACTGCTTCTGCTGAGAAAAAATTGCTGTTTTTTTCGAACACTGATTCGCAAAAGTTTCAAACTGTCAATCGATAAAACAAAGTCGTTGAATTGCGTAATCGCCTTTATGCTTGAATTTATTTGACCTTGAGTCATTTTTTTAAATGAGGAAGTGCTCAGTCCAAACAATTTGTCATTATCAACCAAGTCATCGATTGTGGACAGTTTGGCTTTCTTCACTTCAATCAACTGTTTCCGAGTAAGTGAATTGAACTATGGTTAAGCACTAAATTATAGGAATTAGTTCAAGTGCGGACTGAAGCTCTAGGCGCAGTAGGGTAGCGAGCGTTTTCAGAAAAAGCTCACAAAACTGTTCCGCCCCTAACATGACTTTAGCATGAGTTTCTGCAAAATATTTTGAAAGGTTACACAGCTAATTAGCTCATCTGAAGATTCGCAGTAAAAGTTAACTCAATAAGAAGTTTGATCAAAATGAATACCAGCCAATAGGGGATCAATTATGATACTCAAAGTTTAAATCCTCAGGTCAAAATACTCCCCTATCAACGCCTCAAATTCCTTTTGCACCAGTGCTTAAAAAATATACTACTCAATTAATTTCAATTCGAGAGTCAGATCGAAAATTGATAAAGCTTACTTTAATATTAATTGTAACAGCAAATTTCATTCAAGTTATTCATTATTTCATTCCGTAAAAAACGATAAATTTGTCATGACATGAGATTTTTTAAGTATATATTTAACATCGATGTTCATAGATCAAAGAGATCATAACTAATATCTTAGACTATACCTAATATCAAGAACAACTTGCAATATGACTGAATTTTTAGAATGAACTTTTAAGATGTTGATGTACTGAGAAACTCAGAGCAACTGGAGAAACGAAGTTAATGTTTTCTTTTAGTTCAGTCACCGAATCTTGCCTAAAAATGACAACGCAAGGGTTGAATCAGTTCGCAATGAATACTGACACTCAAGGACGAGTTCCAGTTTACAGGAAGCAGTTGAGAGTTTGTGTGGACTATAACAACAGTGGAGGCAACTGTCGCTTAGGGGATTGTGAGTCGCTGCATATATGTGCGGACTGGGTCCTCTCACAATGTCCAAGTGGAACCGGATGTCCCAAAAATCATAGGTTCAGAACGGAATCGATCAAACTACTTGAGTGTGGATTCGATCCTCGCGATAGAGCTGCATTTTGGCCCTACTTGTTGAATGCTGTACAAAAGATACAGATGAGCACTTCGCCTGGGTCAGGACAAATTCAACAGCCCTCAACTTTAGCCAGCCCTAATAGCCAAACGCCGAGGATGCCTATGATAAATAATCAGAACTTGGCCAGTAGTTTCTATAATTTGAATGTGGCGGATCAGATTCCAAGTATCTCTATCAATAACAGCAAGTTGAATAGCGCTTTTCAAACAAGCGCTCAAAGTGGGTTACCGAAGAATCAAACGGGCGCGCAGTTGAGTCCAAGTGAAGCTAGTAGCTCTGTCACTTCAGCTCGCTTAACGCCGCAAGCATATTGTGGTGGAGCTTCACCGACTGGTTGTTCTCAATTCCAGTTTCCAGCAAACATGAGTGTTTCGCCGACTGTTGGAACAAATATCGGAGCACTCATCAGGGGCAACGCAGAGACATTCCCTGCGATCAACAGCCGCAACATCTGCGAACCATTTCTCGAGGATGCGTGTCAATTGGGTGACAGATGTGTGAATGTTCACCCGGAAGGAAAAACTGCATTTTGCTGGAGGTACAAAGTTCCAAGTAGCTCGATGTGGAAAATCTTCTCCGTGGAGACCAATCGTGTGTTGGAAGAACAATTTGTGGATCCCCGGAAAGACGCGGTCGAGGCAATTTGGTTGGATGACACTTTTGGAAAAGTGACTGTTTGTTTTGAAACTATGACTGCGCAAGAGAACTCAAATATTACGTTTTCTAGATTGGAAACGCGCAGCTGCGAATGGGCGTGGTACCTCCAGCATGATTCGAGCTCCAATGAGTGGTCCGAGTTTGGAACCCCATTTGGGGAAAACTTTGGGACCTCAATCAGGTCATCTTTTATTGAATCTGTCTTGAGTTTCTTAACGGATAAAGTCCGCTTGCCATTTGTTCTCCACATGGCACACGAACAAATATTTTGTAATTTGGTTATGGAACTGTTCGAAGATCGGCACGTAGGAGCCAAGGTATACAATCATAAAGGTGAAGAGATGCAAATACGTCCGAGACCTCGAGCGACTAGTTTTGAACAACTTGTCCAAGACATGGTAGCCAATCAGAATAAAATTCGGGAAGGTGCCGAGAAGTGGAGGACAGGGTCTTACCAAAAACTGGTCCTCAGATCAAGAAGAGAGTATGATCCAGAAAATGGAAGTCTAGACTCGTTCTATCGAATAGTAGAGAGTGCTTTCTTTCGAAATGCGAATAAAAAGAGCTTTAGTGTTCATATTGATTGCGTTGACATGTATGTCAACCCCACACTTGAAAAAATCTTCCTGGCGAAGAAAAAACATTTCGAGGAAACGAGAGGAAAAGAATATGCGAAAGAACTTCTGTTGTTTCACGGGACTCCGATGACGGATCCAGAGCCGATCATGAGAAACAATTTCAGCTTGGATTCAGTTAAGAGAACCGTCTTTGGTTTTGGAATTTACTTCTCCGACTTTCCAGAGATGTCAATGGTATATGCAAAAGGAGGAAGCCTGATCATGGCAAGAGTTCTGACAGGAAGACAAGCAGCAGCGCACCAATGTCCAACGATGGCTGCTAATAAAGGAGCGATTTGCCGCGAGCATGATACTCATAGTGTGTTCCCACAAAAAGATAAATATTCGTCAGCGGTGGTCATTCAAGATGTGGACCAAATACTACCCGTGTTCAATATTCACTGGAAGTACGATGACTCAACAGATCATATTTCAATACAATTGTGAATGACTAATAAAAACATGACTGCAATTACTTAACAAATTACTGAAATGACTTTGTACTGAGATTAAAGAATGAATTATAAGCACTTACTAATTAAGTTATTAAAATATCTCTTGCAGGATGATTTGCTCTGGAATAACTTCTGATCCGGAAAATTTTGGCACTGACTAGCTAAGAAAAGGAAACACATCGCAGAGTCGTTATCTCAAATTGACAGATTCGGCAAATTTTGACCTCCTTGCAGAAACTTCCTTTTGCTGTTCGTGGTGGTTTTTTCAGCTGCTATTGAGAAAAATGTATAAAGGAGAAAATAGCTTGAAAACCTTAAATGAACGGGCAGAGGAATTAGGTCTCCCATTCTGGATTTCGTGAAACCAAAATTAGTGTAGTTTGAGTAGGATTTTTTTCCCGACCATTGAAAATTTGTATTCAGGTTTTAATTTTTTTTTACTTCTGGTAGATGGTTTCAGGTGGAGAAGTAATCATCGGAAACAGCGGAGTGATATATTAGATTGAAGCCTTAAGTGATTCGAAACACATTAAAATTTTATCCGGTTTTGAATTTTTCGTCTTAGTTTGGGAAAAAAAGCGAGCAAGCAGGCTTACAATAGCTTCTTTTAATGGCTAAAAAGCTTATAATAGCTTAATGTAATACGTAAAAAAAAAATTTACTCAAATAACGTTTATTTTGTTGCTTCAGCGCCTTTTTGGAATAAAGATCTTTTGAAATTCAAAAACCTGCAGAGCAAGCGTATTCGATTTTTTTTCCATTTTTCTAGTCTTTTCCTTCAAATTCTGTTTCATTTTCTTTTTACTATGACTGTCGAATATGCCGTATCTGTAGTTTTTTGTTCAAATCCTCTTATCACACGGCGCCAAAAAAACTGACACTAGTTTGAAAAAAAAAGTTATTGAAGACTATGTCGGAACATTGTGCTACTTGCACAGTCAACGGCTATACTTGTTTGATTTTAGAATCACTTGTAAGCATAAGGGAGACATTTTTGTCCGGAAACGAATAAAAGCTCGAACTAAGTAACTATCTTTGCACCGAGTAGTCTTTTCTGAACCCTGCTATTAAAAACGTTATAAAAGGGGCTGATAAAAATCCGAGTGGAATATTTCCTAAGCTTTGATGATATGCTGAAGCGGAGCACAAATTTTAAGATAGTTTTGCGCGTAATACTGAAAATAAGAAAAACTCAAAAACATTTAATCTTATGTAATTTTTTTAATTTTTTTTGGTAGTGACCTTTTGCACACTACTGCCGACGTGATTGAAACTATCGAAATTGGAACTTAATTTAAAGAAATAATCCAGTCGGTGCATTTAAAACTTGCAAAAGTTTTGGGCGACTGTTGAGAAAAATGTCAGAGGTATTAACTTTTTTCTTCGGTTTTACTTAAGATTTTATGGAATTAGTTGTTGTTTTGAACACTTCAAATGATTAACGGCTTCATAGTGCATTGAACTATTATTTCGAGCAGCAATATTTTGATGTTTCACATGTAAAAAGCATAGCTTGCAAATATAAGCAGTGAGCAGGTAGAAAGCAACTTTCTACTCGGTTAAGCTGGCTTTTATTTTTTTAGAATCCCAATTATATACACATACCTCACTGAGAACATAGTTTTTGTTCCGACTTTCGATACGAAAGTAACGGAATATTTGTGCTCGGGGTGGGTTTTTTTTTCTTCAGACAAATTTCGACTTTTTTACTAGCCATTTTGACGGAATTTTTTTATATCATTCGAAAGCCATTGTTGTCCTGAGCTTAAATTTGAAAAAATATTTCACCTGTGATCATTTTGCGTAAAGTTATGAGGGTTTAAATATTGTCATTTTGGCCATTTTGACCAATTTGGGACAATTAACGCGCGATATAATTCGCGCTATTAACGCGTAAGCGGAGATTTAATCCGTCTTATAAATCGTTCCAAATTGGTTAAACGAAGCTTATTTGCCACAATTGATTTGTTACAAGGAACGAAATCTATCTTTTTGTACTTTATATGGCGTGTGGGGGGATAATTTTTATTAAAAAATTTCAAATTAAAAAAAAATTTCATTTTATTTTATTTCATTTATTTTTTTATGCTATTACTGCTGCTCCATAAACCTTAAAAGGCAGTCGGAACATTCAGGGCTTCGCCCTGATACCAGCAGTTTTGTTTTGTTGGAAATTGACATATAGCAATCGATATTTTGTTCTGATGAAACCTAGTGAATAGTTAGCAATCATATAGATTTAAAAAGAAGTTATGCTCATATTAGTTTCATATTACCTCCGTTGAAGAAACATAAATCATCTTATGAGGTATTACGTTAGAAATACTTATGTACGCCGGACAAAGCGCTTGCTAGTAATATAGGGTCCTTTCTAATTTCTATCTTAGAAAGTAAATCTAAAATTTGCCGAGAAATACTTTAATGAATTTACTGCAAGTTGCCTTTTGACTCGATATTTACTTTAAGGGTTAGATTTGGAGTTATTCTGACTGAGAATGGTTTGTATTTTAGAGAGGGGTTGGCGTGGATGATGTTGGTTGAAGAAAAAATTGTTGGAATGAATCTCAGTAGTTTTTAGCTTCTCTTTATTCGCAATTGCAAAACCTCCCAATTTGTCGTGTCGTAGCAAATGAGAAGTTACTTTTCAACTTCTTAATCAGAGAAAAAGTATCGCTGTTTTGAGCTCAAAATCATTAAATTTACCTGTGAGTATTTTTGGTAAAATTATGGGGGGGTTTTTGAATATTGCGGCTTTGGCCACTTCGGCCGTTTTGGGTTAATTAACGCGGGTTAATTAATATATGGGGAGAAAAAGGAGAAAAAAAGAAAAAAAAATCTTTTATTTTCCCACATATTTTTTCAATTATTCAACCAAAAAAAAAACTTTTCGAAGGCTTCAAAAGCAATTGGAACATCCGGGGCCTTGCATTGATATATGAGCAGTCTCGTTGTACTAAAGCATTTGAAAATACTATGCATACAAAATATTGCAGAACAGAAACAAGATAACTTGTTTATCTGAGGGCAAAGCCCTAAATGTTCCGACTGTCTCAATACAAAACTATGTCAAAACAAAGGTATACCTACGGTGATTTTCGGTTGCTACTTCAAAGAGGTCTCTTTCAAATTAAAAAAGCTAAATTTCCTCAATGATTTCAAATAGCTGGAACACTGACTGAAATTTTTTTGAGAAATTTTTTGTCAAGTTTTAGAGCAGATGTAATAATTAAATTAACTTGAAAATTGTTCATAAAATTGGTCATAAATTTTCTGGACGGATAGTTTAAAATAAAATCCGTTCCAATTTCTAACTTTACATAGATTAAAAACTAACAATTTACTGGCTTTACTTTTTTTTGAAAACAGGAGAAAAGAAAAAACTGTTTTTCTTCGTTTTTGATAATTTTCTAATGCTTTGTGGGGGGATAAAAAAATGAAAAAAAAAATTCACATATTTTGTTACTTATTCAACCGACAAAAAACTTTTCAATTGACCGTAAATGCAGTCAGAACAACCAGGATTTTGCACTGATATACGAGCAGTCTCGTTGTACAAAAGCAATTGAAAAAACTATGCAATATAAAATATTGCAGAACAGAAACAAGATAACTTGTTTATCTGAGGGCAAAGCCCTAAGTGATCCGACTGCCCCTTAAAACAAAACTGTGTCGAAACAAAGGTAAACCTAACATCGAAACTTAGTCAACCACTTTTTCAAAACATAGTGGAACATGAACGAAGTAGGATTTAACACTGTCAAAAATTTGCCTTTCGCTGTCTAATCGGTCGAAATATACCCACTTTGTAGCAATTTCCAACCGAGCCGTTTTGTGTCTAAACATAACACAAAACACGCTCGAGTAGAACACAGTTGAACACACTTTTCCTTCTGTCGAGTCGTTTGAAGCAATGCCGGTTTGGTTCGAGTCAGTTGAGACACAGCCATTTAGGCCAATCTCTCGAAACTCAATACTATCTTAATCCAGGTGTTTGGCGCAGACATTTTAACTGTCATTGTTCATAGTTGACGAAAAAAAACTATCATTTTTACGCAAAAACTAATTTTACTCGAAGCTTTTAATTAATTGGGTATAAAAGCGAAGTTCGAGCCAGTCCATTTGACTTCAGGATGTGCCAACCTGCTTTGCAGTATCGGTATTTTCTTTATTTTTTGAAGTTAAGACAATTGGGTTCCATTAAGTTTGTCCTATGTTCTATTGATTGTTCCATTTGTTCAAAACATGTTCATAAAGAAGCAGCTTGAAATTTTAATTGATTTTCAAAGCAATGAATGTAGAAAAAAGTGATGCTTCTCTTTCAAGCTTCCGCGCCAAGTTTTTCAATCTAAAATTTTCAAAAAAAAAATCAATTTCAATTGGGAAGAATTTTATAGTCCTTGCTTGAGACAAAATTTATAGAAAGTAAGACTAGTGAAATTATCATCATTCCTATTCTTAGCAGCATCGATATTTAATTTATAGAAAAATTATTGGACAAATCGTAACTTTTTTGATACAACTTTTAAAATAATGAATTTTAAATCTTAACAGTGTTTCGTAAGAAGTTTTTAAAATTTTATCTGGTGTATTGTTTCGATCAAAGCGCTTTTCGATAATTTAATTCTGCGACAAAAACTATGGTCAATTCATCCGGAACTACTTGCACAGCTCTTAATATTGGTAAAAAAGGTCTTGCGTAAAAAAATGAGTTTTTTATTTTCCAATTCCTATGAGTTTTGATTCAAGTCACAATTATCCAATATTTGATAAGGAAATAATTTTCTCGATTTCACTTTTTTGCTGTGTAAAACGGACCGAAAAACCGAAGATTGTTCAAGCACAAACTTTTTTTCATTTTTTTTTCGAATATTTAATCAGTTTTTGTCTTTCAAGTTTTTTCATCGGCATGGAAGGCTGTTGCAAACAGCAGGGCTTTGCTTTGGTACGAGCATACTGTATCAACTCACACTTGACTGACACTGCAGGAAGCTTTCCAAAAAAACATCTAAATTTTCGTTGGAAAAACTGTCCGTTGTTTGACAAAATTTATTAAATAAGGAAAAAGGCAGTCGGAACAAACAGGTTTTGCTCTGATACGAGCG